TCGCTCCCCCTCTTCGTGGAGGAACGACACAGGACCCTGCGCTGTTCTTTCGTCTGCTCGGCCCTCCCCGGGTTTGCTGCTGGTTCTTCCCGGGTTGGCTACTGTCCCTTCCACCTCCGTGGAAGGGCAGTTCCCCCTGGCCACATTCCCCACTTCCGCAGGGGAGCGGCACACCGCCGGCCGGCTCTCTCGGGGGCTGCACAGGTGTTCCCCTTAGATGTTCCCCTTAGATGTTCCTCGTGCATGCCGTCTCTCTCCTCCTTTATAGTCCTCCTCCGCCAATCCTAACTCGGCTGCCCACACGCCGAGTACACTGCTCTCCTCCAATCAGGAGCAAGTCCTACAGTTTATTGGCTGAACTGGAGGCAGCTGTGTAGAAGCTGTTTTCTTCTCTCCCAGCGCCATATTGTGGGAGAGCAGATGCATAGAATAAGTCTTAATTCCAGTAACTTAGTCTAGTCCGGGTTGCTCCCCACATTTGTTGAATTCTTTATTTAGTGGAGGGTTAAGCTTGTGATTATAAAGTAAATTATAAGTGGGGCTGGCACTGTGGCGTAGCAGGTAAAAGCCGCAGCCAGCAGTGCTGGCATCCCATATGGGCACTGGTTCAAGTCCTGGCTGCTCCACTTCCGATCCAGCTCTCTGCTATGGCCTGGGAAGGTAATAGAAGATGGCCCAAGTGCTTGGGCCCCTGCACCCACGTGGGAGACCCGGAGACCCAGACTGTGCCATTCCAAGAAAGAAGCCCAAGAAGTATAGCAGGTGCGGCACACACGGTGTCCCTTGAGGACATGGGTGGTTCTAGATAACAGAGTGCCAGAGACCAGAGCAGGAGCCTGCGAAGGCTCCTGGTTCCGATTGGCCCAGCTCCAGGCATTGCGGCCATCTGGGGAATGAACCAGTGGATGGAAGCTCTCCCTCTCCCCGCATCTCCTCTCTGTAACCCTGCTCTTCAAACAAATAAATAAATCATTTAAAAATAAATTATAAGCCTGTCATTGTAAAAAATTAAAAGAAAAATAAGAAAAGTAGGAGGGAGGATGGGATTGAGGGAGAGAGTGGTGGGAAGTATCGTTATGCTTTTAAAACTGTATATAGGAAATACATGAAATTTGTTCTCTTTATGTAAATAAAAAAAAGGAAAAAAAAGACGTCATGGAACCACACGCACACAAGCACACACACACACACAAGCTGGGGCTGGGCCAGGAGCCAGGGACTCTCTCCAGGTTTCCCTGTGGGTGGCAGGAACCCAGGTACTTGAGCCATCATCTGCTACCTTCCTAGCACATTAGGAAGCTGCACTGGGAGTGCAGAGTAGCTGGGACTGGAGCAAGCACTCCAAATGCGATACGGGCATCCCAAGCAATGGCTCTTTTCATTCCATGTTCCACAAATGAGAAATTATTTCCATATAAAGGAAAGCAACTTTACTTAACTGTACATTTTCAAAATTTTCTTGTTAGTCACATATTATTGTTTTTAAAGATTTGTTAATTTATTTGAAAATCAGAGTTACAGAGATGAGAGAAGCAGAGAGATTTTCCACCCACTGGTTCATGCCCCACATGGCCACAACTGCCAGGGCTGGACCAGGCTGAAGCCAGGAGCCAGGAGTGTCACATCTGGGTCTCCCACATAGGTGTCAGGGGCCCAACCACTTGGGCTTTCTTCTGCTTCCTTTCCTGGGCCATTAGCATGGAGCTGGAATGGAAGTGGAGCAGCTGGGACAAGAACTGGTGCCCGTATGTGATGCTGGGGTCGCAGGCAGTAGCTTTACTGGCAACACCACATCGCTGGCCCCAAGTAGCTTATTGTTTACTCATATTTCCAATGCTGACATTTGCCTTAATAATATGAAAATCCTTTTTTTTTAAAAATATTTATTTATTTTACTTGAAAGTCAGAGTTACACAGAGAGAGAAGGAGAGGCAGAGAGAGAGAGAGAAAGATCTTCCATCTGCTGGCTCACTCCCCAGTTGGCTGAAACAGCCAGAGCTGTGCCAAGATCCAAAGCCAGGAGCCAGGAGCTTCTTCCGGGTCTCCCACGTGGGTACAGGGACCCAAGCACTTGGGCCATCTTCTACTGCTTTCCCAGGCCATAGCAGAGAGCTGGACTGGAAGTGGGGCATCCGGGACTTGAACTGGCGCCTATATGGGATGCTGGCACTGCAGGCAGCGGCTTTACCTGCTATGCCACAGTGCCAGCCCCATGAAATCACTTTTTATAATGTATCTGATGGTTTGGGTATTTGATGTCTTTCTGCTCTGATTTGATTGGATTAATTTGCTTGTGGGTCTCAGTATGGGGTTTTATTACCTTGTGCATTTGTGATATTAATTTTTCCTCTGAGCCTATGTTTCCTGGAATTTTGTAGGGATTCTTTGAGTCCTAGATTATACCAAAATGTTTTTATTTGCTCTTTCCAGGCATCACAGCGGGTGGCACTACAAGCTTGGGTTATGACCCATTTAAAATGTAATCTTGGGGGCAGGTGTGTCAGGTGTGTCTGGCTGCACCACCTGGTTCTGGCTCCTGACCCAGCTCCTGTGAACACAGACCCTGGAAAACAGTGCTGATGGGTTCCTGCCACCCACGTGGGGGACCTGGATTGGGTTTCTTGGTGCCCAGCCTCAGCCCCAGCCACTGCAGGTATTTGGAGAGTGAATCGGCTGCTAAGTAGTCTCTTGTGGGAGTAGTTTTACCTGGCGGTCTCCCATTACACTTGACACTGTGGAATAACCTCTGACCTTTTCTCTTGTCCCATGCTTCTTGCACAGCTGTTAAAAAAGGAGCTTGGTGTCCTGTATTAGATTCACTTCATTAGGGCGAAAACTGGCTGAAGTCTTCATTTACCCATCTGAGTTCCTATTTTGTTTAAGTTTTTGGTTGCTGTGAGTTTCTCCTTTCATTTCACTAATAAACTTTAAAACTTTTTTAAAAAATATTTATTTGAAAGCAGAGTTACAGAGAGAGAGAGAGGAAGGAAGGAAGGAAAATAGAAAGATCTTCCATCTGCTGTTTCACACTCCAAATGGCCACAACGGCCAGGACTGGGCCAGGCCAAAGCCAGGAGCCAGGAAATTCTTCCAGGTCTCCCACGAGGGTGCAGGGTCCTAAGGACTTGGGCCATATTCTCATGCTTTCCCAGGTGCATTAGCAGGGAGCTGGATTGGAAGTGGAGCAACCAGGACTTGAACTGGTGCCTCTATGGGATGCTGGAGCTGCAGCCCATGGCTTAACCTGCTGTGCCACAGAGCTGGCTTCTAAAAACAACTTCAGTCCAAGGTTGCCTCAAAAAATGTGTGGAAAAAGGGAATGAAAAGATGTTTATTTTGGTGCAAAATGTTTTGAAAGCAATGCATCTCATGACACACGTTTCCATGAACTTTTGGAGATCGACTCGCCTGCCTTGATTTCATTCCTGAAGTATGTGTAGCTGTTTCCATCAAGAGGGTTTCTCGGGGTCCGAAGTCAGAAAGACCTTTAGGATGGCCTAAAGTTTCTTCTCATGATTACCCTGAATGTAGGTGCAGGATGAATAATGTGGTTTGTTTTTTTTTTCATTTAAATGTTGAATCTTGGAGATCTTTTTAGGTCACAGGTAAGTTTTTTTTTTTAAATAGAAGAGTAGGTCATTGGAAGCAGACCTCTCATTGGAGACAACTCCAGAGGTTGCATAAACATAAAAAGTATTTGGTTTAAAGCAAGAGGGGAGTAGCAAGGAAGCGACGATTCTCAGGCGAATGCACTAAAGATTCCTGTCAGCTGACTCAGCCGCTCTCGGATTTTTTCATGGAAATCCCACTCGGAGATTTTGTTTTCGACTGCTGGGCAACCTAAATGGCAAGAGACAAGGGAATTTTGTTCTTCGCGAGATGTGCATGTGGTCTTCCACGTGTTTCTAATGGAAAAATAAGTATTCTAGTGAAAGGAAACTTCTCAAAAACAAGAAACTGCAAAAAACTGCATTTGTGTGTTTATTAGGGTTCATCAACTTGAAGACTGACATCTCTGCCACATTTCATTTGAATTATTTCTTTTTGCTGTCAAGTCCCTTGCTGATGTTATCTTTTTGTTTTAAAGATTTATTTATTTATTTATTTGAAAGTCAGAGTTACAGAGAGAGGAGAGACAGAGAGAGAGAGAGAGAGAAAGAGAGAGAGAGGTCTTCCATCCGCTAGTTCACTCCCCAATTGACTGCAATGGCTAGAGCTGGGCCAGGCCAAAGCCAGGAGCCAGGAGTTTCTTCCAGGTCTCCCACGTGGGTGCAGGGACCCAAGGTCTTAGGCCATCTTTCACTGCTTTCCCAGGCCGTAGCAGAGAGCTGGATTGGAAGTGGAGCAGCCAGGTCTTGAACCGGCGCCCATATGGGATGTGGGCACTGCAGGCTGGGGCATTAACCTGCTGTGCCAGAGCGCTGGCCCTGATGTTATCTTTGGTTCGTCTTATTCATGCTGTCTTGAACAGCGCCCAGCATGCAGTATGCACCCAGGCATGTGCTGAACAGATACATGGAGGCGGATATGAGTCTAACTTCTTATTTTCCAATGGAAATAGAAGGATTTCTGCAATAAGAAACATATCGTGTCTTTCCTCAAGAGGGTGCGCCTACTGGTTTAGCTATTCTGAAATGCTGAGGGGAGACAGGGGACAAATCAATGCTCGGATGAAAGCGAAGTGTTCTCTCCTCAAACTGAAACACGAGAGCCTACAACAAATTGTGCCCTCACTCTAGCAGGGTCGTGCATACTTGAAACACCCATTCCCAAATCCCAGCCCAGCAAACAGGTTCAACAGGGTCTCAGCGTGAAGACATCTGGATCCACCGGTATGGCCAAGTCAGCTCCAGCTCTGTGGTCGCGGTGCTGTTGAGACTACTGCCGACTCTAGGTTCCAGGAAAGATCCTGGGAAGCGTCTGTATGGCCAAGAACCAGGTCGGTCCACGATCCCCCCCCATCCTCCTCCTCCTCCTCCTCCTCCTCCTCCTTCTCTCTCTCTCTCCCTTGGAAGACAAAAGGATTCTGTCTTGTGTCCGTCTCCCATCAGACAGTGTCATCTACCCAGAGTAGCCTAGAGAACTCAGAATCGGGGTGCCACCATCGCTTGGTACCCGGATCGGCCCTGGTTCCCATCTCTTGCTCTGTGTCATTTTTCACAGCACGTCCTCTCCCTCTCCAAAGGCTCCCAGTTTGGACAATAAATTTCATAGTCACCCTACTTGGAATGAGCATCCTTTGATTACGTTCTAGCTTTATTTCTTTCCAACCATGCAGACCCCATTCGCAAGCCTGATTCTTTCCACGTCCCCTTTGTCCCCCCTAACTCTCCTCCTCTTCCTCATACTCCGTCCAGACTTTGATCTGCTTAATCAGAAGCCAAGACTCTTGAGATTCTAACACCAGCAGTTGTATACAACTCAGCTGCTCCACTGCACCTTCTTCGTAGAACACCCTCTGGTCCAGATTCCCTCCCACCAGCGGCCCCAGCAGGGTGTAGCGAGCACAGCCCCCGGAATCCCCTATGGGCTCAGAGCCCAGCAGAACTTGCCCCTGGTGGAGCCGGTACAGCCCTTGCTCTGAAGTGCCTGTCAGCACCGCGACCCGGTTGACTCTCTGCGGGCTGTCCAGGATGACGGTCAGGTGGTTGCCTTCCACAGGGTCCAGGGTGAAGTAGTACTCCTCGTTGAGAACATAGGCATACTGGGGGCCGATGTGCACCAGGGACAGCATGTCGGTGTGAACCACCGCGGCGGGGTTGTCCGCCTCCCCAAAGACCCTGTCTTCCTCCACAGGAAAGCAGGCGTCCTCAAGCTGGGACCTGTTGCCCATGTGGTGGAAGAGGGAGACGCCGAAACGAATAGGAACCGTTTGAGCCAAGAGAAGACGGAATTTAGAGAGCAGCAAGTGAGTGGGAGCGTCCTCAGGGAAGAGGAGGCAGAAAGAGGTGAAGCGAGGGAGGTCGCTGCTGCGCAGAACCTGCCCGGAGCCCAGGCTGGAGAACTCCAGGACCACCCAGCGCAGCTCCCTCCAGGCCGCCAGCGTCCAGTAGATGGCAGAAACAAACCTGGGGGCGCACTGTGTGTTGTCTTCCAGCAGCAGGAAGTACTCTGAGAGCTCGCTGGCGAAGTTCATGAGCAGGGCGTGACCTTCTCTCTGCCGGGAGCGCAGAGCCTCACAGGGCGAGGACTGACTGGGCGGCAGGGGTCGCGGGAGAGGGGAGTCGCCCAGAAGACCGCTGACCACCAGCAGCCTCCGGGACTCCAGGTGCGGTGCAAAGGGGCCTGAGATATTGGCAGCTGCTCTGTGGAGCCGCTCAGGGTCAGGCTCTGACAGGTGGACCAGCACTATGATATGAGCCAGCTCAGGGTCGGAGGTAGCTTGGAACAGGGAGTGCAAGGTGTCCAGGAGGTGGCTCCCGTGAGGATGCTCTATCGAGGAAATGCCCACGGTCAGCAGTTCTGGGGGAGACACGGGACTTCAGCACCACAGAGGGACGGGGCCCCAGGCTCCCTCCCAGGTCCCGCCCGCACCGCCACGCCCGCCGGTTTGCCCTCAGCCGGCCATCCTGGTCAGAGCGCTTGGATCTGACCCATCCTTTGAAAGGTGGTTGTGTGGGGGAAGGCTGCCACGTGCCAAAGGTCCATTTGCTGGTGTGGCAATCATCCCAGCCTGGCCTTGACCTTGAGTCACCTCAGCTATGAGGATGCAGGCTGTGCAGGGAAACCCCAGGGCGTGGCCGCCCATGCTCTGCAACCTGAGGTCTGCATCTCCCCTCCACCCACTGCCTTCTCCCAGGCTCCCACGGGTTCCTCTCCCATCCTTCTCCCCCTCCCTCGGGGGTCTGCCACGAGCGAGCTTCACTATGATGTGACTCTGCAGGGTCACTGTGGCCTGGGGGCCATTCTCCTGTTGGTCACTTGAGGGGTGGGCAGGCAGGAGGGAAACGCACTCAGGACCCTGACCTGCACCAGGGCCCATGGCGCAGCCCTGGCTCCCAGCCCTGCCTTCCTCATCCCCCCCTCCCCACCTTCCCATTTCTGGTGAAATTCCTGTCCAGCCTCCTCCCAGCCTGACTGGCCCTCCCCTGCCTACTCACTCTTCTCCTGGGGAGGGGCTCCAGCCAGCAGCTTGTAGCTGGCGTGCTGGAGCCCAGGGGAGGTTTTCTGCATCTCCTTGAAGGCTTCCAGATGGTTCTTGACTTCAGAGTTGAATTGCTCCCGAACCATCTGCCGGACCACAGTGTTCTTGTGCTTTTGAGGACAGACAGGGGTCAGGGCTGAGGCTGGTGCCCAGATCTTCTGGAGTCAGCTGGGGGACAGGTCCCCCTTCTAGGACAGGCTGGGGACCCCAGGGTGGCTGTGTGTCAGGGCGCAGTTAATGTCTCTCCCGACATGGGCTTTCCTGCAGAAGTAGGGGCCGTGAGGCAGGGAGGTGGAGCCCCCAGGGTCACGTGGAATGCCCTGGACATCGGCAGAGTCATCCTGGGCCTGCTCCTGCCACGCCCACCTCTAATTTGCCTCCCCTCACCAGGCTGGCCAAGGTCAGTGTCACCAGCCCTGGGCTGTGCAGGTTCTGCAGGACCTGCTGAAGGCCCTCCCAGCCGTGCCCTTCAGGAACTCTCCCACGGTGCCTGGGCTCTGCAGTCCTTGCACGTGGGCCAGCACTCTGCCCACGGCCCACTCCCCAAGCTGTGCCCCAGGGCAAACGTGGAGTCCCAGTCTCAGCCCATGGGGCTGGGGTTTGCTCCTGCCACTTGTGGATGTTGTAACCGAGGGAGGAGACTCCACTTGGTGTGAGAACTGGGACATGAGGACCCTGGGGAGGGAGGTGGCCCACGCCCAGCTGCTCCCCAGCACCTGCTGGCCCTTCCAGGCTGTGGGGTCTTCGAGAGCCGCCTGTGCCCCTTCCTGACCACACTTACCATGACCTCTCCTCTGCCCTGCATCTAATCACATTCTGCCTAAATCCCAGGCTGGCTTAAAGCTGACACTGCAATTCCACACCTGCTCTCTTTCTAGAACTTTCACGGTGAGACTGGAATGTTTAAGACAATTGGGAACTACTCCCTCCTTGAGGGTTGGCAAGGGGCCGGCCTCCATCTGCGGTACTTACCACGGACACATCTTCTTCATCCTCTTGAAGGAAGAACCCCAGGACAATGAAGAAGGCAGCGATGAAGATGTATCTCCGCAGGCAGGAGTGCATGGTGCTGGGCCCGGGAGCCCGGGAGCCGCTCTACGGCGACAAGTGGGTAGGAGTCGGATCCCGACTGGCTCCTGCCCAGAGCCCGGATCTCCCTCCCCAGTAGGGGTCCTCCACCTCCTCTCCCCACCCTCCTGCTGGACACCACTGCCTGATGGTGGCCTCAACCTTTCCCTGCCCAGGTCCACCCTTCCTGCCATGGGTAGCCGTCTAAGGAAGGCAACGGTCAAGGGTTGGGTTCTATGCAGGCTCTGCCTTTGCCACCTCCTCCCCAGTGCTGTGAGATCCTCTGCGGGTGGAGACCCAGCCAGAGAAGAGGGAAGAGGGAATACAGGGCTCGGTGTGAATTATCTTCTTCCCCAGCCTCAGAGTGAAGCCACAGTCCCCTCTCGGGCTTCCCTGACCAATTAGTTGGGTCTTGCCTATTTGTCCCCCACTTCCTTCTGTGCCTGATCTGTCCCAGGGTTGTCAGGCAGAGGTTCTGAATCAAGTTGGAGGGACAAGGGACGTGCTTGTCGGTTGCTCTCCCACACCCTGGACTGGTCAGCAGGATGGAAGCCTGGAAGTGGCCAGCAATTTCTAACCACGTGGAAGTTTTTTTTTTTTTCTTTTTTGTCCAACAGAAACCGGCTTGGGGGTCTCTAAAGAGCGCAGGGATTTCTCTGAAATTGAGGCTTCAGGGTTGAAGAGGGGGTCCCAGGGCAACCCCTCTGAGGTCACTGAGATCAGTCACCTGTCCTGGGAAACCCTGCCAGCCATTGTCACCGAGTGGACGGGGTGACTTGAAGAAAACACCTGTTTCTGAGTGAGGTGGGGATACTGTATGAAGAGCAGCCTGCCAGTCTTTTCACGTGAACTTTGAAATTGCACAGTCAGCTTGAGTCGAATCCAGAGTGGGTTTGAGCTACCCCTTCCCCCAGGGGGCGTCAGTGCTGCCACGCCTCCCTCCCCGCTGCTGTCACGCTGTGCTCCTGGCGGGTCTCCCAGTCCCACCTGAAATCTCCGGGTCTCTCTTGGGCCCAGGAATGATGCCCAGTGGGCCTGCGCACTTTCCCGCCGGTGCTCAGTGAGCTCACGCTGTCTTTCTCTTTCCCCTACTCTGAGGTCACAATGATGGCCCCCGTGCACTTACATAGGGTGGTTTTTTTTTTTTTTATTTGACAGATAGAGTTAGACAGTGACAGAGAGAGACAGAGAAGAAAGGTCTTCCTTCCGTTGGTTCACTCCCCAAATGGCTTCTAAGGCCAGCGCTGTCCCGATTCGAAGCCAGGAGCCAGGTGCTTCCTCCTGGTCTCCCATGGGGTGCAGGGCCCAAGAACTTGGGCCATACTCCACTGCCCTCCCAGGCCACAGCAGAGAGCTGGACTGGAAGAGGAACATCCTGGACTAGAACCCGGTGTCCATATGGGATGCTGGCACCGCAGCGGGAGGATTAACCAAGTGAGCCACAGTGCTGGCCCCATAGGGTGGGTTTCTATGTGGAGTCTGTGTTAGAGTGTCTGCAGTATTTTTCCCACGTGGATGCTTGTTTAACCTTGTACTGTGCATTCTTTCCCCCATTCATTTTCAGTGTCATCTCTATTACAAGTCAAGTTTCTGTGTATCCCTAGTTCTTGGGGATGATTTTCAACCCTGTGCCTAAACCAGGTCAATCAAAAACATTACTTATTGAAAAACAAAGCAACAGAGAGACAGAGATCTACTATTCCCTGGTTTATTCCCCAAATGCCCATCACAACCAGGGCTGGGGCAGGCCAGAGCCAGAGCCGGGCACTCTGTCCAGACTCCACGGTGGGTGGCAGGGACCCACGTACTTGAGCCATCATCTGCTGCCTCCCAGGGTGTGCATCAGCAGAGTCCTGGGTCAGAAGCAGAGATGGGACTGGAACCCAGGAACCCTGACGTGGGCTGTGGGCGTCTCAGGTGCTGGCTTCACCTGCTGCACCACGGTGTCGCCCTCATCTCACTTGGATTAGAATAAACTATTTTATTTTATTGGAGTCCACACGTAAGTGAGATCATGCGACAGTTGTCTTTCCGTGGATGGCCTATCTCACTTGCCGTGGTGTCCTCTGGGTTCATCCATGTTGTAGGGATGGCAGGGTCAGGCTTTCTGCGGGCGGGCACCGTTCCACTCTAAGTCTCTCGTGTACGTGTGCACTGGAGTGTCTTTATCCACTCATCTGTCAGTGGAAGTCTGGGTTGCTTCCGTGTCTTGGCTGTCGGGGGTAATGCCGCAGTGGATGCATTTATGAGGTGCTGACGTCATTTCCTTTGGGGAAAGATTGCTGGGTCAAATGGGGGTTCTATGTTTAACTTTAGAAACTTCCACACTGTTTCCCGTAGTGGCTGCACCATCTACGCTCCCAGCAGCTGTGTGCAAGCATTCCCTTCTCCCCACACCCCTGCCAACGTTTAGATCTTGGCTGTCTGGGAGCACCCGTGGTAGGTGTGAGAGGCGGTGTCTCAGAATGGTTTTCATTTGCATTTTGTGATGATTAACCATGTGGAGCCCTTGTCTATACCTCTGCTGGCCATTGTCATGCCTTCTCTGAAGAAATGTCTGCTCCCTTATCAGCAGTGCCACTTCTATAGTAAACATGGCTTCTCTCTCCCTCTCTCTCTCCCTCTCTCTCTCTCTCTTCTCCTAGTGCACACCCCGGGAGTCAGCAGGTGATGCCTCAAGCACTTGAGTCCCTGTCCCTCCTGTGGGAGATGTGGACTGAATTCTGGGCTCCTGGCTTCAGCCTGGTCCAGTCCTGGCATTTAGGGAATGAACAAGCACATGGAAGAACTCGCTCTCTGTCTCTCTGATCTTCAAATAAAATGAAATCAATAAAATTCAAGGAGTACTGAAAAGAACCAGATTCACTGAACCAGTTTCAAGACTTTAATGCTTTGTTACCTCTGTAGAGTTCTAGCCTGACCACTTGCACAGCGTCCAGTGTCTGCTCCACGTGTCGGATTCACCGGGTCCAGAGGTTGATGTGTCTGAGTGTGAATCCCGAGGGCAGAGTGGCTGTCACCAGCAATCTCACACACTTCACCTTCTTTGCAGACTTTTCCGACAGCACCTGCTTGTTCAAGACGCCATTGACAAGGAGCCCCAGGAGCACGTAGTCGTCGCAGTCGTCGATCAGGTTCGTGGTGTCATAGCCCAGTTCCACCTGCCCCTCCTTCACCCGGCTCTCTTCGTCCAGCTCGGAGCCGGTCAGCACTTGAACTCGGGAGACTCTGGCAGGTGTGTCCAGAATCACGGTCAGATGGCTGCCGGCCGTAGCCTCCCGGGTAGAGAAGACGGTCCTGTCCAGGCTGTAGGCGTTCATGAGCGTGGAGCTGTTGGTTACGTTGAGGTTGGAGTAGATGGTGGCCGCAGGGTTGCTGGGCGAGTCGGCGTCACTTTCCTCCGGCTCGGTCTCCCTGAGGCTGGTGAGCTTGTCCTGCGTGGAGGAGGCATTGCCCACGCGCCAGAAGAGGGAGGGCGAGAACTGGATTGGTTTTTGCTGCAGGACATCTTGGAAGTGGGAGAGAAGGTAGCGACAGGGCATGGTTTGGTGGAAGAGGAGAAGGAAGCGAACAAAGCCGGGGAGGTCGCGGGTGCGGAAGAGCTTTCCAGTGAGGCCCAGCCGCGAGAACTCCAGCGTCACCCAGGACGTCCACTCCCAGGTGGCCAGGGTGGCCGCGATGTGCGTGACGAATCCCGGCGCACACTGCACGTCGTCGTCCATCACCAGGAAGTAGTCGGAGCAGTTGACAGCGAAGTTCATGAGGAATGCGTAATCCAGGTTCTGCTCCGGGCGGAAGGCCCCGCACGCGGGGCTGTGTCTAAAGGTTTTCTTCGGGTTTTTCAAAGGCCGGTAGCTCTGGGGAGGAGGCGTGATCACCAGGAGCCGCCCGGCCAGCACGTGCGGCTGGAAGAGGGCTGAGAGGCTGGAGAGCGTTTGATCCTGCCACTTGGGGTCTGGGTCTGCCAGCTGCACCACCACCGTGAAGCACCTCTGCTCGGCCGGGGAGGAAGCCAGGAAGAGCCGCTGCAGGGTGTGGACGAGGGCGCTGCCGCGGGGCCGGCGCCCCAAGGAGATCCCTATGGTCAGCAGCTCTAGGGGAGGGGAGAAGGGAGAGGCTTTGTCAGCTCGGAGAAACGAGGCGACCCCTGCTGTGGGCCAGCTCCGCCTGCGCCTCTGTAGGGTTACATCGCAGTTGTCCCCCGAGCAGTGACTACGGGGCCGTATTATGAGTCCCTGGGACAGGGTCCATGGGGACGTTTGAGCAGGGACTCCCTACACCAAAGACACAGTGCAAGGGCGCAGCTTCCTACAGAACTCTGTGGGCCATTCCAAGCTCAGAGCCACCAAAGACAAAGAGGAGCAGTTGGGCCCTGGGATGCCTGCCTGGGATATGATTCCTTCTAGAAGGATTTCCAGAGCCACTGGGCTGGGGAGCACCACGGGGCTGAGGGTGGCAGCATCCATCCTCAGGCTGAGGCCTAAGCATTTGTTTTTAAAGATTTATTTATTTATTTTGAAAATCAGAGTTATAGGCAGAGAAGGAGAGATGCTATGATAGAGAGAGAGAGAGAGAGAGAGAGAGAGAGAGAGAGAGAGAGAGAGAGATCTTCCATCCAGTGGTTCACTCCCCAGTTTGCCACATCAGCCAGTGCTGGGCCAGGCTGAAGTCAGGAGCCAGGAACTCCATCCAGGTCTCGCACATGGGTGGCAGGGGCCCGAGTACTAGGGCCATCACCTGCTGCCTTCTTAGGCTTTTTAGCAGGAAGGTGGATCAGAAGCGGAGCAGAGCTGGAACTGGCACTCCTCTGTAGCCTGCTGTGCCACAGGCCTGCCCCAGGAAGGCATTATTCAAAGCCAACGTGTCTTCATTTATTGTCCAGAATGCTCCTGTGAAGAGAGGACTCCCCGGTTCCCACAGCACAGCAGAGAAATGCTTGGTTGCCCCCTGTATCAGCTTTCAGAATAATGGGTCGGCGCCCTAACGTTCTCAAATGGTGACAGAATTTGTCAGTTTTTTCTAATCCCTGTGAACTCATGGATTTTACATGTTTCAAACCATTGAAATTTTATTCTTTTTAAAATATTTATTTATTTGGGGGGGCACTTCCATCTACTGGTGGGGGTGGGGGTAGATGGTCACACCACTGAAGGCAGGAACAGGTGACTCGATCCAGAGGAGTGAACCAGCCGATGGAAGATTCTCTCTCTCTCTCTCTCTCTCTCTCTCTCTCTCTGTGTGTGTCTCTCTCTCTCTCTTCCTTTCACATACATACATACATACATAAATACATAATAAGTGAATATTTTTAAAGGGACAGGAGCTCAGGATCTTACTCCAAGAAGCAAGTAGCTAAATGTAAGACACGTTGTACATAAATAAGGACGACACCTTGGGGCGAGCGTCTGGCCCAGCGGTTGGGAGGCCAGTGGGAACGCCCGTGTCCCATGTTGGGTGCCTGGGCTTGACAGCCAGCTCCGGCTCCGACGCCAGACTCCTGCGGGTGCAGATCCTGGGAAGGCAGGGACCTGAGTGCACTTTTTTTTTGTTCTTTATAAAAATATCTGTTTACTTTTATTTGAAAGTCAGAGTTACAGACACACACACACACACAGATCTTGCATCCACTGGTTCACTCCCCAGATGGCCACAACAGCTGAGGCTGGGCCAGGCTGGAGCCGGGGGCTTCGTCGGGGTCTCTCCCGTGGGTGGCAGGGGCCAAGCACTTGGGCCATGCTCTGCTGCTCTGAATATGCCTTCCCAAGACGGGACTGTCCATCCGCCCTTGCGGAAATCTGAATCTCTCACTCCTGAATCCCTCTCCCTGACTGCTGAGGGAGGGGCAAGTCTGACGCCCCCTGGAGCGCATTTTCTTTCAGGGCTGGGTGACAGGCACACCCAGCCTCATTCCCAGCACCTCTGACTTTTGCACTCACTGGAGTGAGAGGCAAACATTTTCCTCCTCTTCATCTGAATGCGTAAGCCTTTCTGACAGCCCTGTTTCTTTAGCTGCAAATTCTTTTCTTTGGACTCGGGAGCTGGCGCCGTGGGAACAGGTGTGGAGTGATGTACGGGGAAGCGGGTTGTGTTGTGGGGTGCAAGCTGCATTCTCCAGTCCAACTGGAGGTGAAGGAAGCAGGAGGCGGGGGTTCAGTCAACCCCTCCTCAGCCCCTGGGAGTCTCTGAATTAGTCCAAGGCCAGCTGGGAAGAAGAGCACCCTTAGCAGGTAAGTGAAATCTAGCTCTGTAAGTCCCGTGAAAGCACACACAGAGGACACACAGGTGCTGAAGTTAGCAATAAAAAAAAAAGACTTTTAAAAAAGCATAAGTGTTGGCAGATAGAATTCACCTATTTCAAAGCCATAAATGAAATGGAACTCTAGGGATGCGAGTGGAAGTACATAAGGTTCATGACCACACTAGGAGACATTTAACCTGTCTCAGAAATCAGTTTAGGTAAGCATAAACAGTCTTGAACAAGACACGAAGAAACTCGTTCTTAACTCTGTGTGTGTGTGTGTGTGTGTGTGTGTGTTTAACACTCATCAGAGAATGCACATTCCTTTCAAATATCCATAGAACATGCGGATCATACATTAGACCGTGAAGACTTCAATTTTAATTGTCCTGAGATGGCCATCTTCTAGACTCTATCCTTTGATGATGGAGCAATGTAACTAATGCCTAACCAAAGGCATCCCTCTGGAAATGGAAAATCACGGCTCTAAACCCCTCTTGGATTAAAGAGGATATCAGAATGGAAACCAGCAGCTACTTGGAAGTGAACGGGGAAAAGACCACCATAGACCAGAGCCCGTGAGACACTGTTCTAGTGGGCATTAGGAGAGAAAGTCTAGTTTCCAGTGCGTTCACTGGGAGACAGCACCGGGGACAGGTGTTGTGGCAAAGGAGGTTAAGCTGCTGTTTGGGACCCTGTGTCCCATGTCAGGGTGCCTCTTTGAGTCCCGCTACTCCACACTTCTATACAGCTTCCTGCTAATGCACCTTCGAGCAGTGCATCATGGCCCAAGTACTTGGCTTCCTGCCACCCACGTGGGAGGCCCAGCTGGAGTTCCTGGCTCCTGTCTTTGGTGTTGCCCAGCCCCAGTGGTTACGGGCATTTGAGAAGGGAACCAGTGGATGAAAGATATCTCCCTCTCTGTCACACTGCTTTTCAAATAAATAAATAAATAATTAAAAAATGATAATTCATCTGGGGGGGCAGTGGAAGATGGTCCAAGTTTTGGGGAGCCTGCTGCCCACATGGGAAACCCAGATGGAGTTCTGGGCTCCTGGCTTTTGCCTAGACCTGCCCTGTCCATTGTGGCCTTTTGCAGAGTAAACCAGTGGATGGAAGATCTCTCTCTGTCTCACTGCCACTCTGCCTTTCAAATAAATAAAATAAATCTTTTAAAACATTCATCTGGAAGAGAAAAGATAAAGAATTAACAATTAAAATTTGAAAGAGAGGCTGGCGCTGTGGCTTAGTGGGTAAAGCCACTGCCTGCAATGCCAGCATCCCATATAGCCACTGGTAAGAGTCCTGGCTGCTCCACTTCTGATCCAGCTCTCTGCTATGGCCTGGGAAAGCAGTAGAAGATGGCCCAAGTCCTTGGGTCCCTGCACCCACATGGGAGACCCAGAAGAAGCTCCTAAGCCCTGGCTTCAGATCGGCACAGCTCCGGCCATTGTGGCCAGTTGGGGAGTGAACCAGCAGATGGAAGACTTCTCTCTCTCTCCCTCTGTCCTTGTCTGTGCTTCTATGTAACTCTGCTTTTCAAATAAATAAATAAATCTTTAAAAAATTTGAAAGAATACAAAAATAAGCGGGAGAAGGAGAGATTTAGTTTAACAACATATACAATAAGTTAGTAGCTCAAATCATATGGAATGGTCACAGGAACATTTAAAAAGTTCATGGAACAAAATGGTTTCAAAAAAATAAACTCATTGCATGGGTGCTGTGGCACAGTGGGTTAAGCTGCTGCTTGGGACGCCCACGTCCCTCAGAGTGCTGGTTCAAATCTGAGCTATTCAGTTTCCAAACCAGCTTCCTGCTGTGGCATAGCGGGTAAAGCAGCTGCCTCCCTTATGGGCACCAGTTCGAGTCCTGGCTGCTCCACTTCCGATCCGACTCCCTGCTAATGCACCTGGGAAAGCAGAGGAGGATGCCCCAAGTGTTACAGTCCCTGCACCCTCGTGAGAGACCAGATTAAAGCTTCTGGTTCCTGGCTTTAGCCTAGCACAGCCCCACTATTGTAGCCATCTGGGGAGCGAACCAGCAGACAGAAGATCTCCACCCACCCCTTACCTCTGACTTTCAAGTAAATAAATAAATATATTCTTTAAAACGGAGATTCTGGGTAGGTCTGGGGTAGCCTGGGATCTTGCATTTCTAGAAGCTCCTAGTTGCTGCCACCTCCATTGTCAGTGGACCACACCTAGAGTCTCAAAGCCCAAGGAGACCACCCCTCAAGACTCCATGCTGCCCCCCCCACCTCCCTTCCCCTCCCAGACCTCGTCCTGCGCTCTCCCTGCTGCCTTCCTGGTTCCTCGGTAGGAGGGAGGGAGTGTCAGTTCCTTAGGTCGGATCCTCCGTCCCTGTGTCTCCCCAGCATCCGCTCCCTTCCCTCGTGAGCACTCACTTTTTTCCACGGGAAGCGCTCCCAGCAAGACACGGGACTTCACGTGTCTGATGGGTTCCGAGCTCCTCTGCATAGCTTTGAAGGCTTCCAGGTGCGATTTTCGGCCGGGATTGACCTGCATGCGGACCCTCTGCCAAGCGACCGCCTTCTTTTCCTCCTGAAGGAGAGGCCTGCGTCAGCTCCAGGGGTCCCTCTCTCCGGGAGTAGTGGCTGAGGGTCCCCCGTAGCATAACAGAATGCTACAGTCTCCAGGACACAGGGTGGGGCTCAGGTTTAGTTCAAGTTCCTTCCTTGTCCACTGAGCGAGTTCTCCCGAGGGGCTCTGGTGCGGGCTACGGGTCGGGGAGCAGGGGTTGGGGTTTCTCTGGTTTTCCCGGGTCCTATGCAGGGAATGAAAGCACGTCATGGTCACCCCTCACTATCCCCACCATTCCAGTCCCACGTGACGTGGGTCACCTAATCCCACCAAGGGCACGGCCTGTGTTAGGTGTGAGACGCAGGGGCCAGGCAACACTTCCCACTGAGCACCAGCCCTCTCCTCTGACGTCTTCTCTGATGCCCAGGATTCCACTTGGCTGGGAAAGTGAGTCGGCTACTCCGAGGGTCAGGACCCAGGCGAAAAATGGAAGAAAATATATAACTTTGAAAGCCAAGGGAAATTTTCAGATATAAAGATTAGAAAATGAAGAAAAATGGCTACCTCAGCAGCTGCTGCAAGACAGGGGAGAAGTCGGCGTGGGTGTGTGGTGAAGCAGCCAAGGCCTTGCCTGGAGCGCCTGCTCCCCGAAACGGAGTCCCTGCGTGTGAGTGCCCGCTCTGTTCCTGATGACAGCGTCACGCAGTCGCACAGCCCGGGAGGCTCAAGTCGCTGGAGCCCTGCCACTCGTGTGGGAGGCCTGGCCCGACTTCCTGGCTCCCAGCTTCAGGCGGGCCTATCCCCAGCTATTGCAGGTGTTGGGGGCAATGGACCAGGGGATGGGACCTCTGTCTGCCTGCCTGTGCCTCTCTGCCTCAGAAAGAAATAGAAAAGGGGGCCGGAGCTGTGGTTTAGCAGGTAAAGCCGCCGCCTGAAGTGCCCACATCCCGTAAGGGTGCTGGTTTGAGTCCCAGCTGCTCCACTTCTGTTCCAGCTCTCTGCGATGGCCTGGGAAAGCAGTGGAAGATGGCCCTCATGCTTGGGCCCCTGCACCCATGTGGGAGACCCAGAAGAAACTCCTGGCTCCTGGCTTTGGATCTGCCCAGCTCCAGCCATTGCGGCCAACTGGGGAGTGAACCAGAGGATGGAAGACCTCTCTCTCTCTCCCTCTCCCTCTCCCTCTCCCTCTCCCTCTCCCACTCCCTCTCCCTCTCCCTCTCTCCCTCTGCCTCTCTGTAACTCTCTACTTTTCAAATAAATAAATCTTTTAAAAAAAGAAAAAGAAAAAGAAATGGAATAAAGAAAAGGGACGATTCTGCTTAAGCCTTAAATAAGTGTTAATTCTTTCCAGCCCTGGTTCCCTGCCATCCTGAGTGTCAGCTTCCCTTTCTGTCTTCATCAGGGAGAAAATGGTACACAGATCCCTCACACTTTCCTCTGGGGATGTCTCTAGTACTTGGGACAATCCCACATTAGAGTAAGCTTACATACATACGTCTTCCTTTTCATTTTTGGTCCAGGAATTTCAGCTTCGCCCCACCCACATTACTCACCCAGGACAGGAAGCTGGTAGCATCCAAGGGGTTTTCTTTAATGAAGTACACGACCGGGAACACCAGTGCTGTGGCCAGAGTGAGACTCCACAGGAGAGCTTTCATGGTGCCGGGCTGGGGGCGTGCAGGGCGGGTTCTCACTCTCTAACCTCGGGTGGGCACTCAGACACCTGCAATCCATACGCTGTTGAGAAAAGTTGCCGTCCAATGATAGTACAGAAAAAGAACCCAATTCAAGTCACCCAAAAAGGCCACCCCTGCAGGATGATAAGCTAGTGGGCCCTTGCGTACACGAGAACCTGAGCTCAAGCCAGCTTTTGCTCCAGGTTCAAGTGTGGTGGCCATGGCTTCCCCACGGGTCTTCTTCCTGATTCTAGAGTCTGGCCCCACCCAGCACGTCTAGTTTCTTGGTCAAGGCTTTGGGGGCAACGTTAAGTTCTGCAAGGGGCACTCTCGCCCCCGGGACCTGAAGTCTGGAGCCATGGTTGGCTGTGGCCTCATCAGTCCTGGCTGCCATGATGAAGACCTAGAGGTGGATACTCATTGGAGACGCAGACTAAGGATCTCAGGCTGGTGGTGAGCAAGTGAGGAGTGCGAGAGGCAATCTCCCTTGAACACAGGAGCCCTCCAGTCCCCCAGGGCTTCTGAGGGGCAGGAAGTCAGTCTATTTTTTTTTAAGTTCCAACCACAGAGATTGATGCAGTGATACCACCTGGCATGCCAGCATCCCGTATCCAAGCTTCAGTTCAAGTCCCAGCTGCTCTGGTTCCAATGCACTCCCCTGCTAATGCACCTGGGAAGGCAGGGGAAGACGGGCCAAGTGCTCGGGCCCTGCCACCCACGTGGGAGACCGGGATGGAGTTCCTGGTTCCTGGCTCCAGCCTGGCTCAGCCCAGGTCATTGTGGCCATTTGGGGTGTGAACCAGCAGATGGAAACACTCGCTCTCTCTCTCTCTCTCTCTCCCTCTGTCATTCTGCCTTTCAAATAAACAAATCTTAAAAAAAAAAAAAAAGTAAATAAAGCTCCAACCGTGACAGGTGGAAATCCTCACCATGGCTGAGCTGTGGTTCTACCCGAGACGGCCTTCCTGTGTGCACGGGAGCTGAGCTCCACACCACTTGAGTGTTCAGTTTCCTGCAAAGTCGTAAAGAAGAAAACGCACTGACTGGGAGCTGGGGCGGCAGCAGACTGTGCCTCCCTAGAGGTGGGACCAGGTGGCCGCTGCTGTCACAGGACAGCCCCGGTCACCATTGTGCTCCCTGAATGGGCGCTGCTTACCCCGCTTGCCCCGCACCAGGCACCAGCGCCCTGCTGAGGGCAGGGGCTGTGCTGGCAGCTGCCCGGGGTTCTGGCCCAGGCCCAGGGAGGGGGACCATAACCGGGCCACATTATTCACCAAATAAAAATAGCCTCCTTGGTGCTTTTCCCAGAGAGAAGCAGGTTGCATGTTCAATATTAACCGTACAAGAACAAACAGTAAAGATGACTCAGAATCCCAGCAGCCAGAAATCACTTCTTGCGAACACCTGGTGAACATCATGATGCAAAATGAGAAGGACCACTTGGGATCTGACTGCCAAACCGAACAGAAAGTGGCGCCCGACCTCTTGCTGACAGAGCTGCTGCCCTGCGTCACGTGAGCAACAGGGCTCACAGGTGTGGCGATTTCTCAGGGTCCAGGAAACAGGCCAGCGTCCGTGGGCAGGTGCAATGTCTGTGGGCAGGTGCAATGTCTGTGGGCAGGTGCAATGTCCGTGGGCAGGTGCCACGTCCGTGGGCAGGTGCAGCGTCCATGGGCGGCTTCCGGGTTCCGTGTTATCCCACACATGCTGTTCTTTCTCCTATGGATCTCCACCACGCCTCTCTATCTCGTCATCCTTATTTTCCTTAATAATTGATGTTCTACGTCTGCCTTCCCCACGCTCACTCTCCTCCTGCCACCCTCTCACTGCTCTGAGTAACACACTCGTCACTATCTAAGGAAAAATGCTGGCAGCCCTGGTTGTTGTAGCCATTTGAGGAGTAAACCAGCAGATTTTCCCTTTGTCTCTCCCTCCTTCTCTGTAACTCGGAGTTTCAAATAAATAAATGCACCTTTTGAAAAATATCATTATAAGCCCAGTCCTGCAGTGTCCACTGTGAAGAAGGTCCTCCAGGGCCGGTGCTGTGGCACAGCAGGTTAAGTCACTGCTTGTGATGCCGGCATCCCGTATCAGGTGCCAGTTGGAGTCCTGGCTACTCTGTTTCTGATCCTGGCTCCTTGGCTTCTGCCTGGCCCAGCCATGGCCATTGTGGCCATTTGGGGAGTAAACCAGGAAATGAAAGGTCTCTCCCACTCTCTTTCTGTAACTCTGCCTGTCAAGTAAGTAAATCTTTAAAAATAAGGAAATAAATAGAAGAGCAGAATTTATTAAAAGGAAAAATGATAGCACACACTCAGGTGTGAGTGCAGGTGACCTCGAGAGAGAGCATTGCTGCCACCCGGGCTGGGTCCCCTTTTCCAGGATGAAAGGTGGGGCTGCAGTGCAGGCGGTGAGCCCCAGGAAGGTGTCACCGTGTTGGGGCCTGGGGTCCATGAGACGGAGCTGCACGGTGAGGAGCAGGTGTGCCACTCGCTGAGCGGCCCAAGGGTGACAGGGCCTAGCAGCACGCATGGCTTGGGTGTTGGTAGCCCTTGGCCCCTCGGCCCTCCCTGGCTCCCTGCCACGGCAAAGCCACTGTAATTTGACAAATTGGGACCGAACCGTTGTTAAGTCAAGGACTGTTCATAGATGTGTCTGCAGGCAGTATATGGCACAGAATTTAATTTCCCCTATTTATGTCAGCCTGTATGTACTCCTCTGGAAGCAGAGCTATAGGAAGCCTTGGACTACTTGAAGGATGGGAAGTAGATGCAGAGAAAAAGGATGGGAGAGACGCGTTCTGGCTGTAAAGTCCCGTGGGAACACTTGGTGTGGCGCTGGGTGAGGGAGTGAGCTTAGGAGGAAGCCCTGCGCTTCCTGGGTCACAGATGGAGGTCCTGGCGTGCACGACGGAGCTCACACTCCAGCCGGCGGAGTCAGTCCCCACCCTTTACCCTCCATCGCGTTACTGAGCTGTGGAGAGTAAGTGGGGTATCCTGGTCTGGAGCATAACATTGGAGAACCGCGCCTCCCTTAGGCGACTGTGGTAGGTAGCGTAGGCGTTCACGACAGAGGTGTTTTCCAAGTGAAAACAACTCCCAGAGGGGCCTAGAGGTGGGACGCGATGGTAGGTGCCGCTGTGCACGTGGGGATCTTCCCTCCTGTACCAGGCTGGAGAAGACAGGCGCCAAGCTTTCGGACAGGTGCCTCCCCAAATCCGGGAGAATTAAAGTTGCTGCCCGCCTCCAGGGCGCATCCTCCTGACAATCGTTGGCCTCACTGGGGCTGAGGGGTGGGCCAGGTGGTGGGGGGAGAACCTTCACGCTATCCCAAGGTGGGGGTTACTTGAAGAAAGGAAGGAAGCCATAAATCCCAGCATTCACGTTACTTGGCAAACATCATGGGTGTTAGAGTCTCAACATCCATATCAACATCACTGTTGTTCCTTTTATAGAGAGTTATTTATCATCCTCCTTTTCCATATCGATATGTTTCTCGGTGTCAAGATGAAATTGCTAGAGGATAAAGGAGAGGGAGAGGGAGAGGGAGAGGGAGAGGGAGAGGGAGAGGGAGAGGGAGAGGGAGAGGGAGAGGGAGAGGGAGAGGGAGAGGGAGAGGGAGAGGGAGAGGGAGTCTGTCTTCCATTTCCAAATGGCTACACAGTCAGGGCTGGGCCAGCCTGAAGCTAGGAGCCTGAGCTTATTCCAGGTCTCCCACATGGGTGCCCAACAACCTGGGCCACCCTCTGCTGCTTTCCCAGGCACATTAGCAGGGAGCTGGATTGGAAGAAGAGCAGCCAGGATGCGAACCGGCACGCACACAGGATGCTGGCATCGTAGCTGGAGGCTTAACCTGCCTCGCACGGTGCCGGCCCCTTCAACCTCTTCCTAACATGCTCTGCACGCTGCAGAGACCAGCCAACCAAATGGACATTTTCAGCTTTCTTAGCAGCACGAGCTCCAACATGATTTTGATTTCAGTTTCCAGTCTGATGGACAAATAAGAGATGTGGAAGTGGAACATTTGTAAAGTGAGATGACAGTGACAGCACCCACACCATCGGTTTTGATGTGACTTCTCGGCATTACCATCCTCATTATAGTGCACTGAGAACAAACTGTCCGCAAGAAGCCCACGAGGCCAAGGCATTCAAGAGAACACCCGGGCCGACGTTGTGGTGTAGTGGGTAAAAGACACTGCCTGCAATGCTGGCCTTCTATATGGGCGCCCGTTCAAGTCCCAGCTGCTCCCTGCTAATGCACCTGGGAAAGCAGCGGAAGATGGCCCAGATGAAGCTCCTGGCTGCTGGCTTCAGCCTGGCCCAGTCCTGGCTCTTGTGGCCATCCAGGGAGTGAACCAGCAGGTGGAGGATCTCTCTCTCTCTCTCTCTCTCTCTCTCTGTAACTCTGACTTTCGGTTAATCTTCAGAGAGAGATCTGCTGGGTTTATCAGGAGGCTAGGACAGAGTAAATAGTTTATCTGTCAGGTCAATTGGACCTGGTGCTGTGAACAAAGGGTCTATTTTGTCTTCATCCCCTGGAACAACCATGAGCAACCCTTTGCTCTTTTTCTGCACAATAGCCCATTTTCAGGGTCTGGTGTTGTGGTGCAGGCATTAAACTGCCGCCTGTGACGCCAGCCTCCTGCGTCAGAGCACCAGAGCACTGGCTGTCTCGCTGCTCCACTTCCGATCCGGCTCCCTGCGAATACACCTGGGAAGGCAGCGAAGATGGCCCAAGGGCTTGGGCCCCGGCACCCATGTGGGAGACCTGCATGGAGCTCCTGGGTCCTGGTATCAGCCAGGTCTAGACCTGGCTGTTGTGGCCATTTGGAGAGTGAAGCAGCAGATGGAAGATTCTCTCTCTCTCTCTCTCTCTCTCTCTCTCTCTCTCTGTCAATCTGTGTGTGTGTGTGTGTGTGTGTGTGTATTTCTGCCTTTCAAAGAAATAATTCTTCAAAAAAAGTAGCTTCTTTTTCAGACCCTCCCTGTCTCCAAAGGAATTTGTAGCCAACGGTACTGTAACCAATGATTCGAACCCGGGCACTCGCTCTGTTGACAACTAAGACTGTGGCCGGGGAGTGGTAATGAGAAGGTGGTTTCAGCATAACTCACTGGAAAGAGTGAAGGGACAGCAACTCCTGCCGCTGATAGAGCAGGCGGCGTCTCCGCAAAGGACTGAGAGTCCAGTCTGCGCTTAGATTTTGTTTTTTTATTTATTTATTTATTTATTTTTTGGCAGGCAGAGTGGACAGTGACAGAGAGACAGACAGAGAGAAAGGTCTTCCTTTGCCGTTGGTTCACCCAACAGTGCACCGCGCTGATCCGAAGGCAGGAGCCAGGTGCTTCTCCTGGTCTCCCATGGGGTGCAGGGCCCAAGCACCTGGGCCATCCTCCACTGCACTCCCTGGCCACAGCAGAGAGCTGGCCTGGAAGAGGGGCAACCGGGACAGAATCCGGCGCCCTGACTGGGACTAGAACCCGGTGTGCCGGCGCCGCAAGGCGGAGGATTAGCCTAGTGAGCCGTGGCACCAGCCCTCTTTTTTATTTTTTAAAGATTTTATTTATTTATTTGAGAGGTAGAGTTATAGACAGAGGGAGAGACAGAAAGGTTTTCCATCCGCTGGTTCACTCCCCAGATGGTCACAATGGCCGGTGTTGAACCGATCCGAAGCCAGGAGCCAGGAGCTTCTTCTGGGTCTCCCACGTGGGTGCAGGGTCCCAGGCACTTGGGCCATCTTGTGCTGCTTTCCCAGGCCATAGCAGAGAGCTGGATTGGAAGTGTAGCAGCTGGGACTTGAACCGGCGCCCATAAGGGATGCTGGTGCCACAGGAGGCTTAGCCCACTACACCACAGCACTGGCAAGACAGAGTTTTTATGGACGTGAGAACGGGTTCCCTGTTTCTTCTCCACTCCTCCCTGTTCTGGGAAAGTCTGGGTGGGAGGATTCTGGGATATGGAATTCCACTAAGCAAACCCCTTGGGACAACACTGGCCATCAGGGTTCCTATGTATTGGAGAAGCAAGTGACTCCGTCAGCCCCGTAATTCTGACCTTGTTGGACTAGGACTCCCTCCTCCCTGAGTCACTGAGCTCCTTTTGATAAAGAACAGGCAGGGACACATGGGCCAGGGGAGACAGACCGGAGGCTGAGTCCTGCTTTCAGGACTTGTGTCCGCGTTCCATTGCGCAGAAATTTATTTCTTTGTTCTTTAAAAATATTTATTTATTTATTTGAGAGGTAGAGTTAGAGAGAGAGAGTGAGAGAGAGAGAGAGAGGTCTTCCATCTGCTGGTTCACTCCCCAAATGGCTGTAATGGCCAGGGTTGTGCTGACCCGAAGCCAGGAGCCAGGAGCTTCTTCCAGATCTCCCACATGGGTGCAGGGGCCCAAGCACTTGGGCCATCTTCCACTGCTTTCCCAGGCCACAGCAGAGAGCTGGATCAGAAGAGGAGCAGCCGGGACTAAAACCTGCGCCCATAAGGGATGCCTGCGCCGCAGGCGGAGGTTTAATCTACTGTACTACAGGGTCTGCCCCTGTTTTCTTTAAAACATCCCATTTTCTTTGGCCCCCCTTTGGCACACAGGCTGACGTCTGTCTCGCTGTTTTAGCAGTATTCTGCTCCCCAGCCGGCGGACACCCCCTCCCACCGCCTCACCCAAGCCCGCCTTTTCCAGCCAAGTCCCAGGAGCTTGCTGTGCGATCTGGGCGTTCTGACTAGAATTCGCCACCTTTGGAACATTTCCCAGGATCGCTGAAAGATGCTGGGCTTGCCACTCACTCTCCCTGAGTAAAGCTGGGATTAACCATTTACAGATGCTGTCTCTTTCTGTCAAACAAAACTGTGCTCTCTCTCTGCAGGCGACGTGCTCCAGACGGGACACACTGCACATGGTCCACAGCAGAGATTCCCCGCAGGCTGCCCCCGCCTCTGATGCCAGTCGGGAGCCCCAGGTGGTGTCACCTGTGTTTCTAAATGGTTGGCCGAAAGCTGGTAGGCTGGAAGGGAGGCACTAGCACAGGTGGACAGAATAAAGCGGGAAGTGTGTGGGGTTGAGTGAGGGGAGAAATGTAGAAGCAAGGCTTGGAAGCAGTCCAGTGTCAACACATTATAAGTCTTGCCCAAGTCCAGTAACCTGGGAGGTGGGTCCCAGCCCTCCCCTGGGGACATCTCTGCCCCTTGTGACACCTCCGGGGAGTCGTCCCAGCCCTGCCCCCTCGGGCTCTTAGGTCTGTTACAGGAGACAGCTGGAACAGAGGTCCTTGTCTCTCTGTAGGAAAACAGTTTCACACGTGAAACAGAGCAGTGGTAGGTGAGCTCGCCGGATGGGAGGCGGAGTGGCCAGGACTTGAACCCGTGCTCTGACAGAGAATGGCAGTGCCTCAGGCAGGGGCTTACCCTGCTGTGCCACAACTCTGGCCCCTGTTTACCATTTATTATCAGGGATCTCACAAAGGATACAGATGAAGAGATGCGTAGGCCAGGCAGGTGGGAAGGGCTGGGTGCTTCCTCCCTGTTTCCGGATGGGCCCGCCCTCCAAGGACATGACAAACCCCAGCTCTAGTGGCCGGCACTGTGGCATAGTCCGTTGGGCATCCGCCTGCAGCGTTGGCATCCCATATCAGCGCCGGTTCATGTCCCAGCTGCTCCTCCTCTGATCCAGCTCTCTGCTATAGCCTGGGAAAGCAGTAGAAGATGGCCCAGGTACTCCCAGCTCCTGGCTTCGGATTGGCCCAGCTCTAGATGTTGCAGCAATTCGAGGAGTGAACCAGAGGATGGAAGACCTTTCTCTTTCTCTCTCCCTCTCTTGTCTGTAACTTCACCTCTCATGTAAATACATAAATCTTTTTAAAAAAGTGCTCATTATGATGCGTTAGCACAATACAAGTCTCTCTACCTGGCACCATGACATTCTGAATGGCCCTGAGTACCTGTGGAAGTGACCACACAGAGAGAAAAGAGTTGGCTCTCTCATTCCTGGAAGTCACCACTGCTTTCCCAGAAGAAAGATGAACATTTTGCCCAAATATTCACATATATTTCCGGGACCCCATATATGTAGAATCTGAACAACACGTGGGGACCTGGGAGATCTGGGGGAAGTTCTTGGCTCCTGGCTTCAGCCTGGAGCCTGGCTTCAGCCCTGCCCATTCGGTCATTTGGGGAGTGAACCAGCAGAAAAAAGATCTCTTCTTTAGCTCTCCTCTTTCTCTGTAACTCTGCCTTTCAAATCCATAAATCTTGAAAACACAAAATCCTGCTCACGTCCCCATAACTTTTGTAGGTGGTCCATGCCTTCCCCCAAAGGAAACACCCCTCCAGGAATCTTCCCTCCCAGTGCCAGGAGAATTACCCAGTCTGATAACACTGGATAATAAAACCTTGGAGGAATTTCATACCCAGAAATCCCTTTGTCCAGCACTATCCAGAAGAAGAGGGAGGGGGAAGGAGAATGGTGGGGGGAAGTGGGCCCCATGCCCATATGCCCCGGCCTAAATGGAGACTGGACGCTCTCTGGGACTCTTCTGAAGTCGCCCAGCCCACCTAGGGGATTCATGGGCTCATTAAAGTTTGCCTGCTTGCTTACTGCTACTCTGTCTCAGGTCTGAAATTCTCTTCTTATTTATTTATTTATTTATTTATTTGAGAGGTAGAGTTACAGAGGGAGGGAGAGACAGACAGAGAGGTCTTCCATCCGCTGGTGCACTCCGCAAATGGCCGCAACGGCCAGAGCTGGGCTGATCTGAAGTCTGGAGCCAGGACTTCTTCCGGGTCTCCCACGCGAGTGCAGGGGCCCAAGGACTTGGGCCATCTTCCACTGCTTTCCCAGGCCATAGCAGAGAGCTGGGTTAGAAGCTGAGACTTGAACTGGTGCCCATTTGGGATGCTGGTGCCACAGGCAGATGCTTAGCCTACTATGCCACAGCGCCAGCCCCTGAAATTCTCTTTTGGAGAAACCAGGACTCCAGGCTCCTCTGCTAATATTGTCACTTTCTTGACGCATGACTGGTTTTTATCTCTAGCAGAAGCCAAGGGCCCTCCTGAGGCCTGGGTGTCTCACACAGGGTCTCGGTCTGTCTGGATCACAGCACATCCTTAGCCATCTGGAAGTTCTCCAAGTCCTGTCCTCTCAGGTTACCGTGGAAGCTTTCCTACAGAGGCCTGCTTGATTAAGTCATGGGCCCTTGGTGATCAACTTAACCTGCAGCACCTCTATCCTCCCTGGAGGTTGGGGGTGGGGCTGAGAAGTCCGAAATCCTAACCAACCATGCCTTGGTCTTTCCTGTGGCCAGCCCCCTTCTTGAAGCTGCTGAGGGGCTGCCAGTCACCTGACATCTCACTAGCACACAAACAAGACACATCACTTGGTAGGATTTTAGCAGGTGTATGTCAGAGGACTGGGACAAAGATCAAACGTGTATTTCACAACATCACGTTCTTTTAAAAAAGATGTTATTTATGTTTGAGAGGCAGACAGATGTATGTAAATAGAGAAAGAGAGAGTGAGCGCACTCCCGCACGCACTGGCTCACACTGCAGATGCCTTGGAATGGGGCGGGGCGGGGCGGGGCGGGGCGGGGCTGGGTAAAACCTGGAACTGGAGCCAGAAACGCACCAGGTCTCCCACGGGTGCTGGAGCCCCGGAGCCGTCAGGCTGCTTCCCAGGGTCAGCGCAGCAGGAGCTGAGCCAGGAGCTGGGGCCTGTAATGAAGCCGGGTGTGCTCATGTGGAACCTGGGTGCCGCACCCACTAGGCTGAGTGCTTGCCCCGTGTCATATCCTTGTACTTTACTTCTATAGGTGGATTTTACAAATGCCAAATATAAAGGAAATTCTAAATAACACCATCATTTTGACAGATAAATGTTTGCTGTTATTATCCTCTTGTTAGTGCCAAGCATGTTTTGTTCATTGTAGGATCTCTGCTACCTTAAACAGGGCAAAGGACTGGGTACCTCTGAACGAATGCAGGCAGGGATGGAGTAGTGCACGCTCTCAGTTCTTACGCTGAAGCTGCTGAGTAGATAAGGGAATGCTGTCGGGTAACATACTGCTTACTGCCGTTCAGAGGAGACGTCTGCCAGGTCAGTAACTTATGCTTTTGGGAAGGCATGTGGATAAAAGCTATGGAACTTTGCCTGGGAAAACGTAGAGAAGAAACTCTACAAAGACTTGCATCTGGTTCCGAGGACTTCACGGACAGCTGGAAGCCCGGACTTGAACTCTCGGTGACAGATGCAAGGTTTGCTCCTGGGGGCACTGGACTTCACAGGAAGGCAAATCCCAGTTCAGCCTCAGGCCATTCCCGGTGCTCTGCAACAGGGTAGCTGCCTGAGGGCAAGACGCTGGCACAGCAGGTCCGCGTGGAGAGAAAGCTGGGGGGGCTCTGGGGGTCGTGGGTTCAGTTTTCTTTCTGCCTCTCATGAGTCCGGGTCCTTGACACTGAACAGCGGGAAGGAGACAATGGCGCTCCTGACGAATTTCAAAGCTTTAATTTCCTGTCATCAGTGCTGAGCCCATCCCCGAACACTGGCCTTGTTACCCCTACCCTTCCTCATCTCTAGTCCAGACATTGATCTGGCTGATGGTCACAGAGAAGTGCTGTCGGGCTGTTACCAGCAGCCGCACACACCTCACAGCCCCCATGAGACCTGCTGTGTACGGGACCTTCTGGTTGCACTTGCCCTTCACCAGGGGGCCCAGCAGCACATAGTGGGCACAGCCCATTCCCTCCAGCACGGGCTCATAGCCCAGTTCCACCTGCCCGTGTTCCAGGTGGTACAGCCCCTGGGCACCGAGGCCGGTCAGCACCTGTATTTGGACCACCCTGTGAGGAAGATCGAACACCAAGGTGTAGGTGTCCCCAGGAATGACGTTCTCCGTCTGGAAGTGGCTTAGGATCGGGAGGTAGGCGTACTCGGGGAGGTGAGAGCTGGACAACGCGATCATGGTGTTGTAGAGCGTGGCAGGAGGGTTGCTGGGTTTCTCGGGATTCTCATACTCTTCTCCATCTTCTTCCTCTTCCTCTAAACAACATGTGTACTGGGAATTAAGGTCGTCCGTGCGGTAGAAGAGATAGGGAGCAAATCTAATTGGAACCCTCTGGCCCAAGAGAAAGCGGAAATTTGCTAGCAGCAAGCGTAGAGGAGCGTCCTCAGGGAAGAGGAGGCGGACGGAGGTGAGCAGGGGCAGGTCGCTGCTGTGCAGAACCTGCCCGGAGCCCAGGCTGGAGAACTCCAGGACCACCCAGTGCAGCTCCCTCCAGGCCACCAGCGTCCAGTAGATGGCAGAAACAAACCTGGGGGTGCACTGTGTGTTGTCTTCCAGCAGCAGGAAGTACTCTGAGAGCTCACTGGCGAAGTTCATGAGCAGGGCGTGACCTTCTCTCTGCCGGGAACGCAGAGCCTCACAGGGCGAGGACTGACTGGGCGGCAGGGGTCCCGGGAGAGGGGCGTCGCCCAGAAGACCGCTGACCACCAGCAGCCTCCGGGACTCCAGGTGCGGTGCAAAGGGGCCTGAGATATTGGCAGCTGCTCTGTAGAGCCGCTGGGGGTCAGGCTCTGACAGGTGGACTAGCACTATGATATGAGCCAGCTCAGGGTCGGAGGTAGCTTGGAACAGGGAGTGCAAGGTGTCCAGGAGGTGGCTCCCGTGAGGATGCTCTATCGAGGAAATGCCCACGGTCAGCAGTTCTGGGGGAGACACAGGACTTCAGCACCACAGAGGGACGGGGCCCCAGGCTCCCTCCCAGGTCCCGCCTGCACCGCCACGCCCACCGGTTTGCCCTCAGCCGGCCATCCTGGTCAGAGTGCTTGGATCTGACCCATCCTTTGAAAGGTGGTTGTGTGGGGAAGGCTGCCACGTGCCAAAGGTCCATTTGCTAGTGTGGCAATCATCCCAGCCTGGCCTTGACCTTGAGTCACCTCAGCTATGAGGATGCAGGCTGTGCAGGGAAACCCAGGGCGTGGCCGCCCATGCTCTGCAACCTGAGGTCTGCATCTCCCCTCCACCCGCTGCCTTCTCCCATTTATGCGGCAAAGCTTAGATAATTTACGTTCATTAGCTGGAAGCCACACCTCCCTAGCACTCTGTTGCTGTGTTCACCTACCTGTCAATCAGGGGATTCCTCCCCCGGAAGTACTTCCTCTTACCCAGGAAGTGGGTGGTACCATGTAAACACTTCCTTTTTTCCATGCTCATAAAAAAGCCAGGTAGAATGGAAGTTTGGGCTGTCTTCCTTGTGGTATCAGGATGAACAGAGCAGAGTATGGTATTCCCCCTTCCCTGGCCCACTCTCCCGAAATAAAGCTCTAATGTGCCTGTATATTTTTCTCACTTTGTAAATAAAGTTTATCACACTGCATGCCGTGTTTGTGCCTGTCCTCAGAATTCTTCTCCCAGTAAAAGGCGAGAGTCTTGAAAATTAACATAGGCCCAACCTAGCCCGCAACACTGTGGCTCCCACCAGCTTCCTCGGGGGTCTGCCACGAGCGAGCTTCACTATGATGTGACTCTGCAGGGTCACTGTGGCCTGGGGGCCATTCTCCTGTTGGTCACTTGAGGGGTGGGCAGGCAGGAGGGAAACGCACTCAGGACCCTGACCTGCACCAGGGCCCACGGCGCAGCCCTGGCTCCCAGCCCTGCCTTCCTCATCCCCCACTCCCCACCTTCCCATTTCTGGTGAAATTCCTGTCCGGCCTCCTCCCAGCCTGACTGGCCCTCCCCTGCCTACTCACTCTTCTCCTGGGGAGGGGCTCCAGCCAGCAGCTTGTAGCTGGCGTGCTGGAGCCCAGGGGAGGTTTTCTGCATCTCCTTGAAGGCTTCCAGATGGTTCTTGACTTCAGAGTTGAGCTGCTCCCGAACCATCTGCCGAACCACAGTGTTCTTGTGCTTTTGAGGACAGACGGGGTCAGGGCTGAGGCTGGTGCCCAGATCTTCTGGAGTCAGCTGGGGGACAGGTCCCCCTTCTAGGACAGGCTGGGGACCCCAGGGTGGCTGTGTGTCAGGGCGCAGTTAATGTCTCTCCCGACATGGGCTTTCCTGCAGAAGTAGGGGCCGTGAGCAGGGGAGGTGGAGCCCCCAGGGTCACGTGGAATTGTTAGATAGGGAATCAGAAATGAGCTTATGTGAGTATGACAAAGGCCTAAGGAACTGACATCTACAGGGGTCCAGCATCTGCATCTCAAAGTCATCCCAGTAACCCTTCATGTATCTGTACTTCAAACCTCCTGTCCTGATCCTGATCCTCCAGGGGGTCCCCGCCCCTTCTACCTGAGAACCTTCCTGGTACAGCCCAGTATCTGCCCCAACAACCGTCCTTCCTCTAAGGCTCCTCTAACGGGGCGATGCCAGCCAGGCTCCCCCTGAAAAACTCAGAAAGGAGTTTTTCGTATTTACATTCAACAAGTCCTCTGTCTGGGAGGATGAGAAGGAGGGGGTGGGGGGAGGCAGGACCCATCTTCTTAAAAATCCCCAGCCTCAACTGGACTTCGCTCAGCCCTCTGCTCTCTGCTGATGTGCCGCCTGGCCTGCCCAGGTGTACTCTCTCCACTCAGCCATGTAACCTTGCTCTCCCCCAGTCTGAGCGACTGGACATTCTCTCTCAGGTCCTGTCTGGAGAGGTGCCCATCTGTCCTCATGGATGTCCCTATCCTAGTAAACCTTGCTATTTTGCTTTTTACTTACTCTCTGTCTCACGCCTGAATTCTTTATTGTGTGAAGACAAAGACCCTTTACTTCTCTGGTAACAGAATGCCCGTGGAAAGACCTTGGACATCAGCGGAGTCAGCCAGGGCCTGCTCCTGCCACGCCCACCTCTAATTTGCCTCCCCTCACCAGGCTGGCCAAGGTCAGTGTCACCAGCCATGGGCTGTGCAGGTTCTGCAGGACCTGCTGAAGGCCCCTCCCAGCCGTGCCCTTCAGGAACTCTCCCACGGTGCCTGGGCTCTGCAGTCCTTGCACGTGGGCCAGCACTCTGCCCACGGCCCACTCCCCAAGCTGTGCCCCAGGGCAAACGTGGAGTCCCAGTCTCAGCCCATGGGGCTGGGGTTTGCTCCTGCCACTTGTGGATGTTGTAACCGAGGGAGGAGACTCCACTTGGTGTGAGAAACTGGGACATGAAGACCCTGGGGAGGGAGGTGGCCCACGCCCAGCTGCTCCCCAGCACCTGCTGGCCCTTCCGGGCTGTGGGGTCTTCAAGAGCCGCCTGTGCCCCGTCCCGACCACACTTACCATGACCTCTCCTCTGCCTTGCCCTGTCTATATTTCTCAGGCCCCTGAAAAGTGGTTTAAGAATTTTAAACTGTCAGCGGCTGGTTTCCGGTGATTCCTTCCACAAAGCAGGGGCCCTCAGAGGACTTCTGAGGGAGTGACAGGAGACTGTTGGGTCTCGGTATCACTCCCATTTCATCTCAACTGCCCGAGGACTCTTGGCTGCCACACATGGTAGCTCTCAAGCTTCAGATCTCTCCTATGTCACAGCTCCTCCAGTTCCCCCTGGACGTTTCCCCCTTTCTTCCTCCGTCCCTACTATCACCATTGTCAGTTACAGCAAAATTGCTATATTTTTCTCTATTTGGCTGGGAGACTGGCAGAGGCAAGTTGCCTTTTCTTAACCCAACCTTCTCATCTATAAAAATTCATTCTAAATCATCCTTCTCTTTTCCAAGAAAACCTGCAGTGATTCTGGAGTGACCCCCACTGACAAGACCCAGACTTGTTCACCACTTTCCTACTAACTCGGCAGAAACTGGCTCCAACATCAGCTTCTGTTGCTTACCCCAAACAGCTCAGATCCGTTGTCACAGAGCTGCTCGTGGAGGAAGACACTCAGGAGTACTGAGGCCAGGATTGCGACGACACATTTCCAAACGCAGTGGCGCATGACCCCGGGGCCCGGACGCAGTTCTGCAGAGAAAAGTGGGCAGCGCATGGATCCAAAGGACCTTTCCCTCGGGTGGACCTGGGTGCTGTTTTCCTGCCTTTTTGCCTTCTGTTCCTACTTCCAGAATCCTTGCGATTCCCACCATCCTGATACTGTCACCCTACATTCTGCCCTCTCCGCGTGGAAAGACCTAGATTAACTCTAGGCTGCCTCTACACTCTGAATGGGTTTCCGCTGTGTTGTGATTTTCTAGTTGGTTGCAGCAGGAAGTTAATGAAAACTGCCTTCACTTATCCAATGAAGTCAAGTGCCTTTCTTAGGAAAGGGGAGAAAAGGAAGTAGACGGGGTCGTGCTGGAGGAAAGAAAACGCTCCCGGAGTGGGGATCTAAGCAGAAAGAGTGTCGTCCCTGTTAGGAAGGAAGTCAGAAATGAGCTTATGTGTGTGTGACAAAGGCCTAAGGTCCAGCATCCACATCTCAAAGTCATCCTGAGAACCTTCCAGGTGCAGCCCAGGATCTTCAAACAACTTCAAACACTCAGACAACCTGCCCAGATCCTGACCTTCCAGGGAGTCCTGCCCCTTCTACCCTGGGATAACCAGGGTTATCTGGGATAACCAGATAACCATCCCTCCTCTAATCACAGGCTTCCCCTGTCTGATAACTTCAGGGGGAAAACTCAGAAAGGAATTATTCGTATTTACATCCAAAAGGTCCTTTGTTCCAGGAGGAGAAGGAGAAGAGGCAGAGGCGGGAAGGCAAGACCCATCCCCTTAAAAACCCGGCCTAAATGTGAACTGCGCACTCTCTCAGGTCCTGTCTGGAGAGGTGCCCATCCTTCTTATGGATGTCCCTGCCCTAATAAACCTTGCTATTTGCTTTCCACTACTCTGTCTCAAGCCTGAATTCCTTCTTGCGCGAAGACAAGGACCCTTTGCTTCTCCACTAACAGTCCCCAAGAAAGGGAACAAAAGCAGTGGCTACGGGGCCCAGTGCTATTCTGGATTCTCAAGTCTCCAGTATCAATTAATTAAGAGCCCTTCTTGGGTTTTGCTGATTCTACCTCCCAGCCATTATGCTGTCTGCTTCCTTCAACGTCTCCTTCCAAGCTCATGTTGGGCTGGCATGGTAGGAGTGTTGTCAGAACTTATGCCTGAGAGTTAAGTAAAGAAGATAGAGTACAAGTCTTTCATTGCCTGTGGCCTATCCCCACCAGGGCTACTGACATAGAAGGTCAGTCAGAGTAGCCAGGTCACTGGAATCGGAGCTGTAAGTCCACCGCAGTAGTTTCGTCTTGTTTCTCGGGTCACACACTCACAAAAAGCAATTTGAAGCTCTGCGTAGGGCAGGGGTTTTCCTGAAAATAGAACAGTCACTGCAGGGCTGGGCCTTGACTAGAGCAGGTAGCCTGCGGGTCTTCAATCAGCCAGCCCTGCTCCTCCCTCCTGGAGACACCCCACGGCAACCATTGTTCTCTCTGAATGGAGAGCAGGCAGCACAGCGGGACCAGTCAGCACAGAGAACAGTTCTGGGTGGGGAAAAGCTGTGTGAAGGGCTTTCTAGCCGTGCCAGAGGCTGCAAGTCTTTCCAAATACTCCACTTGCTCCCCTGCGTTTCCTGGGTCTGGTCCAGTTATGAAAACAGGAAGCCTACATTCAGCTTTGAAGACGGAAGAATGAAGTCTGCTCCTACAGATGAGCTAATTTAATGGCAGTGTTGTTCTGTTCAAGGCACAGGGAGAAAACCAGTCCTACGGCGGGGCTCAGGGAGGCTGGGCCAACCAGCTTCTCATCCCCTCTCCTCTTTCCCTTCTGTCTTCTGCTCTCTCCTCCTTTTCCTTCCTGGTGGTTTCAAAACACCTCTTCCTTCTCTCTCGAATGTTAAATAGTTTGCATAGAAGTTCAAACGACCATAAAAGGTTGAATATGACATACAATTATTAGTCTAAAAGCTAGTGTTACTTTAATTGTTATTTGTTGCTCCATATTTTGTTTTCTACACAATTTTAGAAACCAAATACTCGTCTCTGTTTCTGGATATGCAGTGTATGAAGATATAATTTTGTGACATCAAGCATTGAAAGGGGGAGTGGGCATTTAGTCTGCCAGTTAAGATGCCGTGCTCCTCAACCGAATGCCCGGGTTCTACTCCAAGGCCCAGCTCCCGGCTCCAGCTTCCCAGCAACGATGGCCAGTCAGGACCTCAAAGGACGCTGAACATGGTCGTCAGGGTAGTGCAGATCACACACAAGAGACTCCACCTCACATCTACTGGGACGGCTGCTATATATATATATATGTACACACACATGCACATATACACCCCCCCATACATACATACAGCAAATAACTGTCAACAAGGACATGCAGAGGGCCACACGGCTGAACTCCGAGAAATGGTGCAACTGCTGTGGAAAAATGGTACAATGGTTCCTCAAAAACAGAACTGTCACAGGATTGCTGGGCATATAGCGAAAGGATTGAAAGCAGGGTCTTAAAGAGATACTCTTGGGGCCATGTTTGCAGCGGTTTTATTCATAGTGGCTAAAAGGAGGAAGCAGAGCTGGTGTTTAATGCAGCATCTCTGATCAGAGTGCCCGGGTTCAAGTCCTGGCTCTGCTTCCCATTCCGGCTTCCTGATGGGAAGCAGCAGATGATGGCTCAAGTCCTTAGGTTCCTGCCACCCATGGTGGGAGGCCTGGATTGAGTTCCAGGCTCCTGACTTCAGGGTGGCCCAGCCCCCACTGTGGCAGGCATTTGGCAAGTGAGCCAGCAGGCAGGAGTTTTTACTCTGTCTCTCTTTCAAATAAATAAAATAAAAATAAACAAAAAGCAACCGAAAGTAATGCTTACATACAATGGAATATTATTCACAAGAAAAAGAAATGAAGTTCAGACTCCTTCGGCGTGGAAAACACTTAAAGTTTCCAGAACTCTCAGCTACAAGTAGCTTACAATAAGCCGCAAGTAGAAGTGTTTACAGTTAGCAGTGCAAAACCAACCTCCCTCGCTTCCTCCCTCCCTACTTCCCTCTTCCTCTCCATAGAGCTGCTATGGACCCACAATAAAGGAATGGGGCAGGTATTCCTTGGTGGGGCAGACGGAAGGCAGGATCTCACATTAGACTCAAGCCTGGCCCCCAGTTTGGTCACCAAGTGTGGGACCACGGGGCTGGGGAGGACTGTGCCCCTCCCCGTACTTGCTCTGGCCTGCCCGTCTGGCAGGTGCTCCAGCAAACCTGTTCCTTTAGCATCAGTTTCTGGCCCCATTTCATACTAAACCAAGGTTATGTCCCTTGCCAATCAGCAATCTGATTTCCAAACTTTGTAGGTTTAATAAGTATTTACACAAACAAAAGCAAGACCAGCACCTACTGGAGCGATACGCATCCTAGACAGAGCAGACGAAGAGAACACAGGTTATAGAGGAACAGGGAGCTTTTTCACCATGAGTAGCCAGAGAAAAGGCTGGGGATCAAGGAAGTGGAGTGTCATAGTGAAGACGGCTTCAAGGATGCGCTCTCCTGGAAAATACAAGAAAGAGAAGCTAGAAAATGTAATTAGGAGGTTCTCGGCTACCCTGGATCAACATTTCAATGGACAGGTGGGTTGTTTTTCTTTAAGATTTATTTAATTATTTGAAAGGCAGAGTTACAGAGAGGCAGAAACAGAAGCAGAGAGAGATCTTCCATCCGCTGGTTCACTCCCCAAATGGCTGCAGTGGTCAGAGCTGGGCCTATCCGAAGCCAGGGGCCAGGAGCTTCTTCTGGGTCTCCCACATGGGTGCAGGGCCCTAGGACTTGGGCCATCTGATGCTTTCCCAGGTGCATTAGCAGGGAGCTGGATCACCCGGGACTTGAACCAGCACCCATTTGGGATGCCAGCACTGTAAGTGGCAGCTTTTCCCGCTACACTGCAGCGCCAGCCCCGACTGGTGTTCTGAAGCCCGAGTTTGGAGATACATGAATGCTGTGGAGACAGAGACCACAGGCCAAAGCTGTTCTCACTCGTTCTGAATGGCAGATAGAGGCAGGGGCAGTGTTTGGCATAGAAGTTTCCAAGATAGAATAGAATTGTGCATATTTGAAAATTAGATAAAGGAGCTTGTAAGTAGGAAAACTACATTAATTTCTGTAATTCCTGGTGTGTTTGGTTTTGCAGTCAATTTTGTTTTATTAGTGCCCCGAATCTTGGCCATGTAATGAGATTATACTGCCCCCGAGTGGCGTAGAGGGCCCAGGGACTGTATTCTACACTAGGAGCAGGCAAGATTGCAGTAAAGGACCACGTAATAAATACCTTAGACTTTGAAGGTCACAGTCTTTGTCACAACTGCTCAGCTGCCCCTGCAGGGGGAAAGCGGCCAGAGGGAGAGGAAGGTGGGGTCAGAGGGCAATGGGACTCCAGCTCCTCTCCTGCCTGCGCTGACGTGGCTTTCATAACACCGGAAGACACGAGTGGAATTTAAGGCGACGAGTCACTGAATTAGGATTACCCCAGCCAGCAGCAACACGACACCCCTAGCAGACATGTGTGCACGCTTGGAGTCCCTGCCAAGATTCTGAGACTCATTTATTGGGGAAAACCTGTGGAGACGAAGATGAAGCCGTGCCAGGATCCAGCTGAGAATGTACACGTCACTCACCGGCTCTGCACTTCCGGAATTGCTCATGACTTCCACCAGTACTGGGCCAGGCCTGGAGGTTGAAGTCACCGCTGTGGATGGTTAATCAACTTTCCTACAGTTAAGGAAAAACAAATTGCCACAGATAATACACAAACATCAGGCATATCTGTGTTCCAATGAGATTTTATTTACAAAAGCAAATAGGGGTCAAATTTGGCCTGCAGTCAATGGTTTACTGGCCCTTGATAAAAATCTGTGGTTCTCAATACTTGGGCTAAATTGTCAAGTCACCTGGAGTTCGTTTTCAAAAATACAGGAGTGCCCGGACTGCACCTTGGAGTGAATAAGAATTTGGGCGTGGGGCCAGCTCACAGGCGTTTTGTAAAATGCCAGCAAGAAGTCTGTTGTCAAGGTTGAGAAGTACTGATTCAAATGAATGTTTCCAGCTTTAACTGTAGCTCATGTTCATTGAATTTTTTTTTCTTTTTATGATTTATTTATTTACTTGAAATGGATGCAATGTCCAGGGCTGGGCCCATCCGAAGGTGGGCCACCTTCTGCTGCTTTCCCAGACACATTAGCAGGGAGCTGGATGGGAAGTAGAGCAGCTGGGACTGGAACCAGCACCCATGTGGGATTCTGGCACCATGGGCAGCGGCCACTATGCCACAGCGCCGGCCCCTCGTGCAGTGTTTACTGTGTTCCAGGTGCAGAGCTAAGTGCTTTCCATAAATATCTCATTTAACCCCCACAACTCTATGACCTGGAGAAGAAAACTGAATTTTGGTGAGATGAAGCAAATATACTCAAGGTCACGTGGCTATTACAAGGACGGACAAGGATTCCAACTCAGACAGCTGCCACCGAGTCTGTTTCTAGGCTACTCTTTTTGTTTCTATTATCTTGAATTGAAAAGTACTTAGCTTCCACCTGAACTTCATTAGATTAACTTTTTTTAACCATATGCTGTATTTAAGGCATCTAAAGTCACACACAAGCAGTTTCCTCCATATTTGATGAATGTACTCTTTCTAGTGCCACTGAATCCTTATTTTTACAATATGTATTATTTTTTAATATTTAAAAAAATTTATTTGAAAGAGAGAGAGAGAGAGGATACCTTCCATCTGTTGGTTCACTCCCCAGGTGGTCACAACATCTGGGGCTAGGCCAGGCTAAAACCAGGAACCAAGAACTCCATCCTGGTCTCCTACGTGGATGGCAGGGACCCAAGCACTTGGGCCATTTCCTGCTGCCTCCCCAGGCACATTAACAGGGAGCTGGATTGGAAGTGGAGCGCAGGGGCTCAAACTGCAGTTCTGAAATGGGGCGCTGGCCCTGCAGGCGACTTAACCTGACCATAACACCAGCCCTTGAATTCTTACTTTGAATCAGACTCTTCTCAGACTGTACCTACTGCTTGGGCACATCACCGAAATCCACTAAGACCTCCTTTAGTGATTTTCTCCTTGTTAGCCACTGTTTGACTCCACACTTGCTTAGGCTATTACTCTTTTAATTTTTTTTTTTTTTGACAGGCAGAGTGGATAGTGAGAGAGAGAGACAGAGAGAAAGGTCTTCCTTTTGCCAAGGGTTCACCCTCCAATGGCCGCCATGGCCGGCGCGCTGCGGCCGGCAAACTGCGCTGATCCGAAGGCAGGAGCCAGGTGCTTCTCCTGGTCTCCCGTGGGGTGCAGGGCCCAAGTACTTGGGCCATCCTCCACTGCCCTCCCAGGCCACAGCAGAGAGCTGGCCTGGAAGAGGGGCAACCAGGAAAGAATCCAGCGCCCCGACCGGGACTAGAACCCGGTGTGCCGGCGCCACTAGGTGGAGGATTTAGGCTATTACTCTTAATCAAAGGCAATGGTTTAGTATGCTTTTCTTCGTTGTAAAGGCAGAATAGTTAGTGTTTTATATTGGGGCTTTGACAAGTCTTCAGTTTAAATTCCAACTCTGGGGGCCCGGTTTGTGGTGCCATGGGTTAAGCCCCCGCTTGCACTGTGGGCATCCCATATCAGAGTGCTGGTTCGAGTCCCAGCCACTCTGCTTCTGATCCAGCTCCCTGTCAATGCCCCTGAGAAAGCAGTGGAAGATGGCTCAAGTACTGGGGTCCCTGCCACTGACTGGATGGAGCTACAGGTTCCTGGCTTCAGCATGCTCCAGCTCTGGCGATTGTGGCCATTCGGGGAGGGAAATAATAGATGGAAGATCTTTTCTCTCTCTCACTTCGTCTTTTAAATAAGTAAAATATATATTAAATTCTACCTCTGCCACTTGTAGGCTAAGTTCTCAATAAATATCAGCTAGTCTCACAGCCATGTTTTCATCAACTAGCACGAGTCTTGCCTCTGATTCCCCATGTAGTCTCTCTGCACGCACCAGAGCAGAGGGAATTGGTTACTTGAAGTGTCTTTAAACAGTAGGTCAGCACAACTTCATCATCACAATAGCTGACATTTATTGAGCGCTTATTTTGTGCAATTTAAAATTCTTTTTACAGGTTAATTCACTTAATTATCTTTAATGACCCAAGTGAAGCAGGTGTTATTATCTATAATTTAGAGACAAGAAGACTGAGGCTCAGTAACTTTTCTAAGGTCGCAGAGATAAGAAACGGCAAAGACAGGTTTTGAATCCAGAACAATCTGATGTCACAATCTGAACTCTTTTTTTTTTTTTTTTTATTAGAGAAAGACAGAGAGAAAGGTCTTCCTTCTGTTGGTTCACCCCCCAAATGGCCACTACAGCCGGCGCACTGAGCTGATCCGAAGCCAGGAGCCAGGTGCTTCTTCCTGGTCTCCCATGGGGTGCAGGGCCCAAGGACCTGGGCCATCCTCCACTGCCTTCCCGGGCCACAGCAGAGAGCTGGACTGGAAGAGGAGCAACTGGGACAGAACCGGCGCCTCAACTGGGACTAGAACCCGGTGTGCCAGCGCCACAGGCGGAGGATTAGCCAGTGAGCCACAGTGCCGGCCACAATCTGAACTCTCATACTACTTTTTAAAATAGTTTTTCTGGGGCCAGCACTGTGGCACAGGGATTGAACGCACTATCCGTGATGCCAGCATCTATGTGGGTGCCAGTTCATGTCATGGTTGCTCCTCTTCTGACCCAGCTCCCTGCTAATGGCCAGGAGCACCAGAAGATGGCCCAAGTATTTGGGCTCCTGCTACCCACTTGAGAGACCCAACTGAAGCTCCTGGCTCTGGCCTCGCTCAGCTCTGGCCATTGTGGCCATCTGGGGAGTAAGCCAGCAGATGGAAGATCTGTCCCTCCCTCTCAATCTGTAACTCTGAGTGTTTTTTTTTTTTTTTTTGACAGGGCAGAGTGGACAGTGAGAGAGAGAGACAGAGAGAAAGGTCTTCCTTTGCTGTTGGTTCACCCTCCAATGGCCGCCGCGGCCGGCGCGCTGTGGCCGGCACACCGCGCTGATCCGATGGCAGGAGCCAGGAGCCAGGTGCTTTTCCTGGTCTCCCATGGGGTGCAGGGCCCAAGCACTTGGGCCATCCTCCACTGCACTCCCTGGCCACAGCAGAGAGCTGGCCTGGAAGAGGGGCAACCGGGACAGAATCTGGCGCCCCGACCAGGACTAGAACCCGGTGTGCCGGCGCTGCTAGGCGGAGGATTAGCCTAGTGAGCCGCGGCGCCGGCCCTTTTTTTTTTTTAAGGATGTATTTGAAAGGCAGAATTAGAGAGGCAGATGCAGAGAGAAAGCAAGAGAGCGAGCGAGAAAGAGAGGTCTTTCATCCACTGGTTCACCCCCAGATGGCCGCAATGGCCAGAGCTGCACCAATCTGAAGCCAGGAGCTTCTTTCGGGTCTCCAATGTGGGTGCAACGGCCCAAAGACTTGGGCCATCCACTACTGCTTTCTCAGGCCACAGCAGAGAACTGGATTGGAAGTGGAGCAGCTAGGACTTCAACTGGCGCCCATGTGGGATACTGGCACTGCAGGCAGCGGCTTTATCCGCTATGCCACAGTGCCAGCCCCTGTAACTCTGACTTTTAAATAAATCTTTTTAAAAAATTGCTTTATTATGCTGAATAGCTTCTAATAGGGAATCCCTCTGTTATGTTTCTTCAGATCATGAAGCAGGTGTAGGTATGCTACCACTTAGAGTGCCCACATCCCATATTTGAGTGCTGGCGTTCAAGTCCCACCCATGCTTCTGATTCAGCTTCCTGCATCCGGAAAAGCGGTGGTGATGGCTCAAGTAGTTGGGTCCCTGCCACCCACGCAGGAGACCTGGATGGAGTTCCTGGCTCCTGGTTTCGAGTTGGCCGGAATAAACCAATGAATGGAAGATGCTCTACCCCTTGTCATTCTGCCTTTCTAAATAAATAAATAAATACATCTTTTTAAAGAAACAAAAGTGAGAACATTTCAGTTAAAACCTTTCATGTTTTTGAATAGCGAGTGTACTAATTGGGCGTCTGTTACGCCTTTGATTCCCTCCAGAGTCTGGATTTGTGTTTCAACAGGATGTCACATGAGCAGAAACCCACAGGCACCAGCGCCTCATGAATTCTTTATTGACAACATTGTGAAATGAGAAGGCTCACTGCTTACCATCTGCATTTTGAACTTGACTACAAACATGAATTATGTATAAATGGAAAATTATTTGAAACAATTTTCTTTCAGTCAACAGTCTATTAGACTTAGTTCATGCTATAATGTTAGTACATTAAAATGTTAACATGATTTATAACCAATTTATATTCAGCTTGAATTAGAATTCCTAGGTGATTTCAAGCCTGTTGGCAAGGCCGCTGGTAGTAGTGTTACATAATGTCAGTAGGGGGCCAGAGGTTTGCTCCTATGTACTGTACTACCTGCTTAGAACTATTATTATTTTTAAGGTTTATTTTATGTATTTGAAAGAGTTACAGAGAGAGGTAGAGACAGAGAGAGAGAGAGAGAGAGAGAGAGAGAGAGAGAGAGAGAGTGTCTTCCAACAGCTGGCTCACTCCCCAATTGGCCACAACAGCCAGAGCTAAGCTGATCCAAAGCATGCAGCCAGGAGCTTCTTCCGGGTCTCCCATGCAGGTGCAGGGACCCAAGGACTTGGGCCATCTTTCACTGCTTTCCCAGGCCATAGTGGAGAGCTGGATCGGAAGTGGAGCAACCAGGTCTCAAACCGGCACCTATATGGGATGCCGGCACTGCAGGCGGTGGCTTTACCTGCAACGCCACAGTGCCGGCCCCAGAACTATTATTTTTAAAAAATTTATTTACTTATTCGAAAGGCACAGTTAGAAGGGGGTTGAGAGAAAAATCCTTCATATACTGGTCCCCTCCCCAAATGGCTTCAGTGCTCAGGGCCGGGCCAGTGGGAAGCCAGGAGCCAGGAGCTTCGTCCTGGTCTCCCACATAGGTGCAGGGGCCCAACACTTGGGCGGCTGCTTTCCTCAGGCCATTAGCAGGCAGCTGGGTCGTTAGTGGAGCAGCCGTTCACAACCGATGCCCATGTGGGAGGCTGGCATCGCAGGTGGCGGCTTCACCCGCTGCGCCACAACGCCGGCCCCACGACTTGGCTTTCAAAAACAGGAATTCTCTTCTAAATATCTCAGAGAGCCACTCTCCGGTGGCTCCCGCGGATCGGATGCCTGGGCTCTAAGGACTGCCTGTCAAATCGGGGAGCTGCGAGGAAGCTGGGAGCATGAAGGGGAAGGCGCCTGAGGCCACCAAGTGACAGGCACCCTGGCGACACTGGGCCCCGCTCCTCCGGGGTCTACCCTTCACACATGGCTGTCATCTCTCCCGATACAAAGGAGAGACGGAGTTCTCACGTCTTTCATCCTTCCAGTGTTTTGTCTAGGGGGTGGGGACGGGTTGAAGGACTTTTAAGAATCCTTTCTCCTATGTGAGCATTCAGAAATGCTCAGCTTTGTGGCCATCATCAGAGCGGAGGCTGTCACAGACCCTCGCAGGAACAGCAGGTGCAGAAGCCTGAGGGCGGCGGGCGCAGCACCAGGCGGACCGCGTCTGCGCTTCAGGCAGGAAGAATCCGGAAGACGAAGACGCGAAGTCTCAGTTCTAATCAACGCGAGGTGGGTGGCGGGCCCGAGACGCCGACCACCCTCACAAGAGGTACGGAGCAAAACGACACCGCCCCGGTACCACGGCGCGGTACCCTTCTCGAACCCTGACCCAGCCGATCCGCGGGCGCCGGGTGATGACGTAGCCCGGGCCCTGGCCGTGATTGGCTTTCGTGGAGGGGCGTCGGCCGCTAAGGCAACTCAGAACCCCGGCCCAAGACCTCGCGAGAGTAGCGGCCTCCGGTGCGGGATGGCCGCGGAGCCGGGCGGAGCTGTCCCGCGGCTCCCGGTGCCGGCTCTCTGGCCTGAGACATGGCCCGGGGTCCCGGCCCGCTAGGCCGGCCTCGACCCGACACGGTCGCCATGCCCAAGAGAGGGAAGCGACTCAAGTTCCGGGCCCACGACGCCTGCTCTGGTCGAGGTGGGCGGCGGGGTGGGGGCGCTGGAGGACCTGGGCTGGCGGCTGGGAGGAGGGCTGGACGTGGCCGAGGCGAGCGTTCGCCTGCCCGGGGGGGAGAGCGGCCGGTCTTGGAAGGCGGGGGCCTGTTTCTTGAGGGCTGGTGCTGTGTTTCAGTGACCGTGGCGGATTATGCCAACTCGGATCCGGCGGTCGTGAGGTCTGGACGGGTCAAGAAAGCCGTCGCCAACGCTGTTCAGCAGGAAGGTAGGCAGAAGGCAGAGCCTGGCGCTCCGCTGCCCCGGGGTCCCGCGACCTCCCCGGGAACATGTTTACTCTCCTCCTTGTGTACTCGTTGGCTGGGAGGGAGGGCAGAGGGAGGAGGTTAGCCAAGAGTAGCAGAGCGCCTGTAGCAGAAATGCTGTATTTCTGTTTGCATTAGCAAGCACCGTCTGTCCACGGCTTTCTTCCTGCTGTCGACCGCTTTCCTGGAGCGCACGTAGCTCGTACCCGGCAGGTCGCCCCCGTGGGTCGTAGCCTTGGCGTGCGCTCTGCCTCTGTGGCCCTCCTGCCTCCAAGCCCTTTACTTAAACTGGATCCCATCCCTCTCAAACATTGCTTCTCAGAGCTTATGTAAATGAGAACACAACTCACCTTTTGTTTGCATCCTGCCGGGCTGAAGTTGGCTCTGTGAAGGGGTCAGCTTGCCTGCTGTTTTCACTTGCTTTGTGTGTGGTTGAAATGACGGTTTTCTGAAAGCTACTCGCTGGTACATCGTCAGCTCCTTCAGCAGACGGATACTCCCCGGCCCTCGCCTTTTCCCTGATGGAAGCTGATTTCTTGGCTAAACTACCCCCGGGCAGGACTGGGTACCACGTCATTATCTCCTCATTTTCTTCCAGTAAAATCTCTCTGTGGCTTGGAGGCCTCCCAGGTGCCTGCAGAGGAAGCTCTTTCTGGGGCTGGTGAGCCCTGTGACATCATGGACAGCAGCGATGAGATGGATGCCCGGGAGGAAAGCGTCCAGGAGAGAACCGTGTCCAGGAAGAAGAAGAGCAAGAGGCACAGAGGTGCGGGGCCTGCGCTGTCTGGCTGATGAGCCCCCTCTGGTGACGGATTGGGGCTGGCGCTTTCGCTTTAGCAGGGGGGGGGGGGGGGGGGGGGGGGGGGGGGGATCTAAGAGGAGGGAGGCCCCAGGGAGCAGGCAGAGCTTGGAGAACATCTAGCTCTTGCCTGAGCTCCTGGTGGTGGCACAGGGTTGGTACACCTGGGCCTTTGACTTTTGTCTGCATTTGAGAGGAGGGGTAAGAGTGTGTCAGTGAACTGGCCTGGGGCAGACGCTTACTGAGACCATGCCATTGTCTGATAAAAGCCCACATGACAACAGGAGAGCAGAAAGCCTTGGCCTGGGTGTGTGAGGAGGCGGGGACGGGGCAGGCGCGTGGTTATCCACAGCCACTTCTGCTTCAGGTGGAGTTGGGTTCTCATGCCTCCCACCTGCTCCGCTGTGTCTGATAGATGCTGGCGGCGCGGAGAAGTGTATGATGTTCACCTCTTACTGGAGATGAAGCAGGGAGTCATGAGCTAACACAGAACGCGCCAGCCCGTCCTTCAGATCTCATTGTGCTCCAGGCTTGCCGAATCAGAATCTCTTAGGGTGAAACCCAGCAGAGTTGTTAAAAAAATCTTTTATGTTTATTCTACATTTGTTTATTTTTAAATTATTAGGCTTTTTTAAAAGCAGTTTTTTTCTGTACAAATTAAGCAAAAAGTATAGGGAGTTCATATACGCTCCCTTATTCTTTCCCCCAGTTTCTTCTCGCATTTGTTCCAGCTGATGAGTGATACTGATACGTTATTCTTTTTTGAGAGGCCTCAAGACTGAGAAGATACAGACACACACAGTTCCCACCCTGTAGTTCGACTCCGTGTTCCCTCGGTGCCTGGGGCTGGGCCAGGGCTCGCTGGGAGTGGAAATGCAGTCTGGCTTTCTCATGGGTGGCAGGAGCCGAAATTGCTGGGCCATCACTGCTGCCTCCCCGGGTCTGCACTGTCTGCACTGGCAGGAAGCTGGAGTCAGGAGCCAGAGCTGGGAATTGAACCCAGGCACTCCAACTTGGGACTTGTTTTGTTTTGTTTTTTAGAGATTTGATTTTATTTATTTAAAAGGCAGAGTTACAGAGAGAGGGAGGGAAGGAGGGGAGAGAGATACAGACTGATCAATCTTCACCCACTGGTTCATTCTCCAAATGGCCGTGATGACCCTGGCTGGACCATGCCGAAGCCAGGAGCCTGGAACTCCATCCAGGTCTCCTACTTGGGGAGTAGAGGCCTAAGCAAGTACTTGGGCTATCTTTGATCTGTTGCTTTTCCAGGCACATAAGCAGGGAGCTGGATCAAAATTGGAGCAGCTGGGACTTGAACCGGTGCCCCCATGAGATGCAGGCATTGCAGGGGTCAGCTTAATCCACTGTGACACAATGCCAGCGCCAGGACTGTTAGGCTATGCACCTGCCTCTGAGACATCATTATTAATGAAAGCCCATAGTTTACATTAGGAATCAGTCTTAGGCCTAGAATAGCTATGCTTAAAGTGGTTCTGATGATCAGCTAGGTTTAGGGGGAAGCTAGTAATAAATGATGTATTTTTGGATTCAGATATACTGGAACATTCCCCTTTACTTGGAATCAGATAACAGATACTTGCATTTGTTAAAGTATATTGCAATATCAGTAAATTAACTAACTGGCGTAACTTTGGAATTGGGCCAGTGACTGTCAGTGATAGCCCTCTTGTCCAGGATCTTAATATTGGCACTCCTCACTCTTCCTTCATCATTTCTTGCTTAAAAATCTGGGCTTAGACTTGAAAGATCTCTACTGAGATCAGATGTATTCCTTCACAGTGCACAATTCAGTGTCTTTAGTATGTTCACAGAGTTGCCCAGCCATCAACATGATCTGTATCTGTAGATTTACCAATACTAGACATTTAAATGGAATTATACAGTATGTGGTCTTTTATGTCTGTCCGCTTAGCAAAAAATTTTTTTCAAGATTTATTTATTTATTTGAAAGTCAGAGTTACAGAGAGGCAGAGAGAGAGAGAGGTCTTCTATCAGCTGTTTCACTCACCAAATGGCTGCAGTGGCTGGAGCTGGGCTGATCCGAAGCCAGGATCCAGGAGCTTCTTCCAGGTCTCCCACATGGATGCAGGGGCCCAAGGACTTAGGCCATCTTCCACTGCTTTCCTAGGCCATAGCAGAGAGCTGGATCAGAAGTGGAGCAGCTGGGACTCGAGCCAGTGCCCATATGGGGTGCCGGCACTGCAGACGGTGGTTACCCACTATACCACAGTGCCAGCTCCAGCATAAAGTTTTCAGGGTTATCCATATTGTACCAAGTATCAGTATTTCATTTTTTTTTAAGATTTATTTATTTATTTGAAAGTTACAGAGAGAGGGAGAGACAGAAAGAGAGATGCCTTCTATCTATGCCTTCTATCTGCTGATTCACTCTCCAGGGGCCACAACAGCCAGTGCTGAGCCAGGCTGAAGCCAGGAGCTTCATCTGGTCTCCCACGTGGTTGGCAGGGGCCCAAGCACTTGGACCATCTTCTATTAGCAGGGAGCCAGATCAGAAGTGGAGTGGCTGGACTCCGAGCCAGCACCCATACGGGATGCCATGCCTCCTGCAGTACAACGTGGAACACAGTTTTTCATTCCTTTTTATTTGGCCATTATGAATGATGCTGCTGTGGGCATTCATGGGCAAGTTTTCACGTGGACGTGGGTGGTGTTTCCAGCTCTGTTAGACAGGAACGATCCTATGGCAACTCCAGCTTTTTGAGGAGTCACCAAACTGTTTTTCAAAGTGACTTTGCTGTTTTATGTTCCTTCCTACAATGTGTCAAGGTTCCAATTTCTCCAAATGTTTACAACACTATTACTATCTGGCTTTTACAATTAGGGGCTGGCATCGTGGCGTACTGGGTAAAGCTGCTGCCTGCAATGCCAGCATATCACATGGGATGTTTGAGTCCCGGCTGCTCCACATCTGTGCAGCTCCCTGCTACTGTGCCTGGAAAAGCAGCAGGTGGCCCAAGTACTTGAGCCCCTGCACCCACATGGGAGACCTTGATGAAGCTTCTGGCTCCTGGCTTCAGCCTAGCCCAGCCCCGGCCATCTTGGCCATTTGGGGAGTGAACCAGTGATTGGAAGATCTCTCTGTCTGTTTCTCCATCTCTCTGTGACTCTGCCTTTCAAATAAATAAAATAAATCTTAAAAAAAATTGTATTGGCTGACTTTTTGAATGTGAAGTGTATTTCATTGTAGTTTGGTTTGCATTTCCTCGATGGCTAACGATGTTGAGCCTTTTTTCACGTGCCTGTTGGTCATTTGTGTATGTTCTTTGGAGAAATGTCCATTCAAATGCTTTGCCAGTTTTGAATTACTTATTACTGAGTTGTAAGCATTCTGATGTGTATTCAGGATGCCGGTCAGTTATCAGGTACGTGATTTGTGGCTTACAGACAGTTGACTGTGGCTATCTTTTACTTCCTTGCTCCACTCCACACCTGTTAGGTTCCTCCACTCTAATCAGATTGGTCTTTTTTCTCCTTTCTTTTAGCTTCTTTTTAATGAAACCGTGGCTTTACCTGCTATGCCACAGTGCTGCCTGTCCCCCCCCCCTTTTTTTTTTAAAGATTAGACACTGGGTAATTTTGAAGATTTTCCTGGTATCCTATCTATCACTATAAGTATTTTAGTAGTTATTTCCTTAAAAAAGTAGCATTGTCATATCTAAAGAATTTAATGGTAATTTTTAAAAACGAATTATGTATTGGGGCTGGCACTGTGGCATAGTGTGTAAAGCTACCACTTGCAGTGCCAGCATCACATATGGGTGTTGGTTGGAGACCTGGCTGCTCCACTTCTGATCCAGCTCTCTTGCTATGGCCTGGGATAGCAGTGGAACATCATGGCCCAAGCGCTTGGACCCCTGCACCCGCGTGGGAGACCCTGAGGAGGCTCCTGGCTCCTGGCTTCAGATCAGTGCAGCTCTGGCCATGTGGCCAACTGGGGAGTGAGCTAGCTCATGGAGGACCTCAGTCTCTCTCTCTGTAACTCTGACTCTCAAATAAATAAATAAATAAATCTTTTTTAAAAAAGAATTATGTATCTATTTGAAAAGCAGAGTAACAGAAAACAAGGGGCAGAGAGAGAGAAAGAACACTTTTCTATCGTTTGGTTCACGTCCCAAATTACCACAAAGCCAGGGCTGGGTCAGGCCAGAGCCAGGAGCCAGGAGCCAAGATCTGCGGCCAGGTCTCCCGTGTGTGCGGCAGGGGCCCAGTTACTCAGGCCGCCTTCAGTGCTTTCCCAGGGAGCAGCATCCTGACTGCTGTGCCACAGTGCTGGTCCTGACAGTGGTTAACGTCATCACAGTGTTGTCAGACTGCTCCCTTTACTGTCCCCACTGAGGCTTTGTTTCTCTGAGTGGTTGGCGTCGTGTTAACTGTTTCACTCGGCATGCTTTTCCTCCGCATCTGTGCCCCTCGCAGTTCTTTCTGTCCTTATTTCCATGAAGTGTTCTTTTAGTGATTCCACTCCGGAATTGCACTCACTTTGAAATTTCTAATAATGCTGTGTAAAACACTGACAATTATTCAGTAATTACTGAATTTTGTCCCTAAAAACAGGTCTTTTAAAAAAAGCTTTATTTTATATATTTGAAAGAGAGGGAGGGAGAGAAAGATCTTCCATCTGCTGGTTCACTCCCCAAATTGCTGCACCAGCTGGGGCTGGGCCTGGAGCTCCATCTGGGTCTCCTGTGGATGGCAATGGCCTAATCACTTGTTCCATTCTCTGCTGCTTTCCTGGGCGCATTAGCAAGGAGTTGGATGGGAAATGTAGCAGCCGGGACTCAAACTGGCATTCATATGGGATGCTAGCATTGCAGGAGGCCTCAAGACAGGTTATTTATTTATTTGTTTATTTTTCCCTGTTGCCAATGCATTTACTTTTTTTTTTTTTTTAAAGAATTATTTATTTTTATTTGAAGGGCAGAGTTACAGAGAGAGAGAGAGAGACAGAGAGACAGAGAGAGAGAGTGATCTCTGACCTGGTTCACTCCCTGAATGGCTCAACAGCCCAGGCTAGGCCAGACCGAAGCCAGGAGCCAGGAGCTTCAAGCAGGTCTCCCACTTAGGTACAGGGGTCAAGTGCTTGGGCCATCTTCCTCTGCTTTCCCAGGCGCATGAACAGGGAGCTGGGTCGGAGGTGGAGCAATCAGAACTCAAACTGGCACCAATGTGGGATGCTAGAGTTGCAGGAGGGGACTTAACCCTCTATACCACAATGCGGCCCCAAGACAGAAGATTTTTAATAGCACTCAGCTTTGTAAAAGTCTTCTTGGGTCTCAGGAGAAGGAATTCTCATGGTTGTTTGCCTTCTCTTTCAGAGAAAAGATGTGAGGTGGGAGAAGTTGGGGCCCAGGCATGATGGACCTGAATGGTTACTGGAGATTACAAGAAGGCTGGCAAACAGAGAAGCGGGTGTTGTTTTAGACCTGCTGATTGCTCTTACAAAGAAGCTGATGTAAGAGCCCGCTGTAGTAAGCCAGGAGCTAGAGCAGCAGGGGCAGCTCTTTGGAAAGGGGTCTTCTGCCCAGGAAAAGCAAGCTGTTCTGTTTTTGTTTTAAGATTTATTTATTTGGCCGGCACTGCGGCTCACTAGGCTAATCCTCCGCCTTGCAGCGCTGGCACACCGGGTTCTAGTCCCGGTCGGGGCGCCGGATTCTGTCCCGGTTGCCCCTCTTCCAGGCCAGCTCTCTGCTGTGGCCAGGGAGTGCAGTGGAGGATGGCCCAAGTACCTGGGCCCTGCACCCCATGGGAGACCAGGAGAAGCACCTGGCTCCTGCCTTTGGATCAGCGCAGTGCGCCGGCCGCAGCGGCCATTGAGGGGTGAACCAACGGCAAAGGAAGACCTTTCTTTCTGTCTCTCTCTCTCACTGTCCACTCTGCCTGTCCAAAAAAAAAAAAAAAAAAAGATTTATTTATTTATTTGAAAGTCAGAGAAAGGGAGAAAGGGAGAAACAGAGAAACAGAGAGGGATCTTCATCCACTGGTTCACTCCCCAGATGGCGGCAGCGGCCAGGGCTAGGCCAGGCCAAAGCCAACAGCCAGGAGCTTCACCTGGGTCTCCACATGGCTTGCAGGGGCCCACGCACTTGGGCCATCTTCTACTGCTTTCCCAGGCACATTAGCAGGAAGCTGGATTGGAAGTAGAGCAGCCAGGTTTCAGACCAGCGCCCGTGTGAGTTGCTGGCGTCGTGTGCCATGGCTTCACCTGCTATGCACAGCACTGGCCCTGCATTCTGGTTTTAGGACAGTGCTCTGACTAGGTGGGAATTAAGGCCTGGGGTTAGCTCAGGGTCCTCTGTGATTCGTGTGTGCTTAGTTGAACCTGAGATGAACAGTGGCCCTCAGGACCAGGAGGGTAACACCAGTGGGTTGTGAAGGAGGAGGAGGGGTGTGGTGACATTGCTGAGGGGTGACTGTGCCTCCGGCCAGGATCGCAGGAAACAAGGAGGAACCACAAGGAAGGAAGCGCCCCCCCCCCCCCCCCGGCAGCAGTGAGGGAGGGGTGAGCACGCGTGTAACTGCTCTGTTCGGTATTTGCTTGCCCTGTGCTTTCCTCATGCCACCTTAAGATCAATTTTGTTGTTTACACGCCTGGACTGAAGGAAATGTTGAATGGATAGGGACCACGAGGGACATCAGTGGCAGAGTTTGTAGGGCAGAGCTGGAATTTGGAGTTAGAAAACCTGAAGGGGCTTGTGCTGTGTGGCGGTGACACTGGCATCCCATATGGGCGCTGGCTTGTGTCCCAGCTGCTCCACTTCCAGTCCAGCTCCCAGTGCTTGTGCATGGCCCCTGTGCCCACGTGGGAGAGCTCGATGAAGCTCTGGCTTCAGCCTGGCCCAGCCCCGGCTGCTGGCGGTCATCTGGGCGGTGAACCGATGGATGGAAGATTTCTCCCTCCCTCTCCCTCTTCCCCTCCCCCTCCCTCTCCCCCTCCCTCTCCCCCTCCCTCTTCCCCTCCCTCTCCCCCTCCCTCCCCCCCCCCCAACTCTGACTTTCAAGTAAATAAATAAATGTTTAAAAAGAAAGAAAACCTGAATTGTTTGCTCTGACCAGGTGGCAGGGCTCTGCTTTCTTTTAGTAAGATGGGCGTAGTTTTTTCTTTATTTCTACTGGAGGATTATAAAAATAAGGAAGAGCTGACTTAGGTACTATATATAAAGACAATTTGAAAACTTTAAAATAGTGTATAAAATAGTTGTTACATAAAGGCCTAAGATTGAGACCCGTTCATTCACTTGGGCAAGGGGAGAAGCTAGCAGGAAATGTTTCGGGGACTTCTCTTAGATGTATTTTTTTTAGGTTTATTCTTTTTTTTTTTTTTTTTTTTTTTTTAAGATTTTATTTCATTGGTTTGAAAGACAGAGTTACAGAGAGAGGTAGAGACAGAGAGGTCTTCCATCTGCTGGTTCACTCCCCAGATGGCTGCAATGGGCAGAACTGTGCTGATCCGAGGCAGGAGCCAGGAGCTTCTTCCGGGTCTCCCACTTGGGTGCAGGGGCCCAAGGACTTGGGCCATCTTCCACTGCTTTCCCAGGCCACAGCAGAGAGCTGGATTGGAAGAGGAGCAGCCGAGACTAGAACCAGCGTCCATATGGGATGCCGGCGCTTCAGGCCAGGGCTTTAACCCACTGCGCCACAGCGCTGGCCCTCTCTTAGATGTATTTAAAGCTTTTTTTCTTTTTAATTTCTTTTTATTTCAAAAGCAGAAAGAGGGAGGGAGGGAGGGAGAGAGAGCAAGCTCTCCCATCTGCTGGTTCACTCCCAAATGCTCGCAGCAACCTGGGCTGGACCAGGCTGAAGGCAGGAGGTGTAAACTGGATCTAGGGCTCCAGCGTGGGGGGCAGGGACCCAAGTACCCGAGCCACTCTCTGTGGCCTCCTGTAGTGCACATTCGCAGAAAGCTGGATCAGAACAGAGTTGGGACTCAAACCCAGATACTCTGATATGGGATGCAAGTGTCCTAAGCAGTGTCTTAACTGCTGTCCCTAAAAATCCATTTCTTGACTGTGCAAGCCCTGGGGACATTGAAATGATGGCGTATCTTTAGATATGTATGTAGCAGAAAATTAAAGATTATTATTGTAATTTCTGTTTCAGAAGACCTGGACGGGGCTGGAGGAGAAGAGTATCCCATGGATATTTGGCTATTGCTGGCCTCCTATATCCGTCCTGAGGACATTGTGAATTTTTCCCTGATTTGTAAGAATGCCTGGACTGTCACTTGCACTGCTGCCTTTTGGACCAGGTTGTACCGAAGGTGCGACCACAGAGAGCTCGCTGTGTTCTGTGTGGCTGATTTCCTTGCTGTTTGTGATTTGGAGCTACTCCCTGGATGGTGACTTCTTTTCACTTTCTCCATGCCTGCGCTTGACCCTAGCTGGGGACTCCTTGAGCCCCTCTCTAATTTAAATGTGATACTGTTAATTCATGCAGTAATTGTCTTCCTCGTGCTTGCTCCTGCCCTGTTATCTGCTTTCAGCAAAGGAGTCTTGCTTCTGGTCCCAGAAATATCTGTCTTTGACGCATCTTCAGAGGTCTATTTTAGTTAGAATGTTTGAAAGCTACAGATGCATGTCTGCTTGTCTTTCCAGCCGGATTGGTTGTGTCTTAGATTTGCTAGTCACCCTGAAGTATCGCGTAGTTTTTGTACTTGGGTTGCCCTATGATTAGAGTGGTGAGGAGTAAGTGAACTATTCCATTAGTAGAAGGCTTAGGTTTTGATGCTGGTGTGCAAGTGTAGTGGAGACTGTGAACTGTCAGGAAGACTTGTGTCGGGAAGGGATGTTAAGGTAGCAGAGAGCAGAGAATCTGCTAGGGCATCTGACAGGAGAACCTCATGGCTTTTTTCCAGAAAAGATTCTGTTTGAGCCCCTGAAATAGGTTACACTGGTATCAGTTCAGATGCTTACTCTTTTGTAAAGTGAAATAGGATTTAAACTTTAAAAAAAAAAATTTATTTATTTATTATTTGAAAGGCAGAGTTCCAGAGAGGGAGGGAGAAGAAGAGAGAGGGAGAGAGAGGTCTTCCATCCGCTGGTTCACTCCCCAAATGGCCACGATGGCCGGAGCTGGGCCGATCCAAAGCCAGGAGCCAGGAGCTTCTTTCAGGTCTCCCATGTGACCATCTTCTACTGCTTTCCCAGGCACTTTAGCAGGGAGCTGGATGGGCAATGGAGCAGCTGGGACTCAAACTGGCGCCCATATGGGATGTTGGCCCTGCGGGAGGTGGCTTTACCTGCCATGCCACAGTGCTGGTCCGAGGGTTTGCACTTTTTGAAAGGATGGAAAAGTGCAGAATTACAAGCTGATGAGGCAGAAGTGAGTGAGGGGTTAAAGGCATGGTGATGTGTGTCAGTGCTGGGGACAAGCCGAGTCCTGGCCAGTGGAGCAGTGCACTGACGCTTACCGGGGCCAGGAGGCCTGGGAGACTGACGCAGGGCAGGACAGACAGGTCCCCTGTTGGTAGGAGTAACGTGTCCTGTTTCAGGCACTACACGCTGGATGCCTCGCTGCCTTTGCGCCTGCGGCCCGAGTCGATGGAGAAGCTGCGCTGTCTCCGGGCATGTGTGATTCGCTCTCTGTATCATATGTATGAACCGTTTGCTGCTCGAATCTCCAAGAATCCAGCCATTCCGGAAAGCACTCCCAGCACGTTAAAGAATTCCAAAGTGAGTGAGAATCCCTGTGGGGTTTGGCAGCGGGCACTTGTGTGGCGAGCCTGTTCCGGCTTGTTTCTGGCTTCTCTCACGGGGAGGGCTGTGTCGCCCAGGCTGCTCCGGGAGTAACAGGCACATTCAGGCCTCAGAGGGTCACTTCTCCAAGACATTCCCGCTGTGCTGGGCTGGCTTACATTAGCTTTAACCGAAGCTTCCTTACGCTTGTAGTATATTCCTTATTCTCCTCATTTTAATTCATTTTCATGCATTGTACATTGGACCCCTTTAGATATTAATGGTTTTGATGGTTTGGGCTGGAAAGAGGACAACTCAGCTGGAGGCAGGTGTATAGTATAATTTTTGAAAGGTGCTTTAAATCATGAACAAGTCGCCACTTTTCTCTTTCTAGGACGACCTTGACATCGGGGTTTCTCCTTTCTGGTGAACCCCTCTAAAGGGTTGCTGAGAGCCTTGTGCCCGGCTCCTGCCAGGCTCTGTGGTAGATCATCTCTGATTCCCAGGCCTTGGTGTCCTAGAATCCTGGCCATGCTGTAGGCTGTCTTTTTCTCCGAGCCCCAGTGCTTTATATTCATGCATTGCATTCAAGTGTCTAGCAGTCTTCCGATTAGTAAATAGGTCTGCTGGTCGCTGGCCCATCCTCTCCTGTTCTCGGTGAGATCTAAGTGAGATCACCGTTGCCAAGCTGGATATAAGTATTTATGTAGCAGATATGCTCCGGAGGCAAGGTGATGTCTCAGTATCATTGTCTAGATTTGTGTCTTTTGAATTTGTTGGGAATTTTAATTTCCCATGCCTACCCCAAATCTGATGTGCTATAAGCATTTCCTATTCTCTTGAACTTGGTTTTTGGTAATTGACATTGTATAATGACTCTTCTGCCCTAGTTTAGCTCTAAGGTAATGATATTATCCCTGATGCATATTAATTGAAAGGGTACTATTCCTTCAAGATTCCTTCAGAGAGAGAGGGAGAAGAAGATATAAGGAGAGAGAAGTCTTCCATCTGCTGGTTCAAGGTCTCCCCCTCGGCTTGCACACTGAGGTGGTCAGGACCATTGGCTGAGCCTGATTTAAAATCCTGCCTGCTGATGGATTTAGGGCAGGGGAGAATGCTGGGCGAGTAGAATTTCACCCGGCAGCTGCTTCTGCCTGTAACATGAGTGGATGGTGTGTTATCTCACACTTACTGTGTCCCTCCCCCAGAAGCATTAGACAGCGCCAGACTACGTGTGGTGAGGGTGGGGATCATCGCAGAGGTGGGAGTCACTGGGAGCAGGCGGCATTGGGCAGACTCCTCGTGCCTGGCACATCTTAGCGGCTCCAGTGCACAATGCAAGTGCTACTGCTTAGATTCTAAAATACCCCTCGCTTCATATTCTTATCACTGTATACTAATGATTTTTTTTAAAGTAGGCTATAAAAAGCCAAGGTGGAATGAAAACTAAGGGCTTAATTGAGATAGTACACCCAGGCCATCTGGCTGCTTCTTACGTGCCTTGTTAGAGATCTTCTTAAGAGGGTCTGGGACCTGTGGTGGCAGGTGTCCCATGCATGGCCTTGCCACTTGTTTAGCCACAGTTGCATGGCATTCAGGGAGTTGCCAGCATGCCTAAAGGAAGTTGTCCCATGTTCCTAGACTCCAGTTTTTCGTATTTGATTCCCCTTCTCTCTCTTTTCAGTAGCATAGCTTGTGTGGGACACTGGAGCCGTTGTGATGGCAGCAGAAGTATTTTCCCCTTAAAGCCAAGCCCATTATTTTTGATGGAACAGCAGGACATACAGGGCATGTCTGAAGGGCAGGACAGCTGGCTCGGCGGACGACCCACCCCTTGTCCCCTGGGAGGTACTTCACTTCTTGTGCTTAACCCTAGCTGTAGCCTTGCTTTCACTGAGGGCCTAGTGTAGCCTGCATTTAGCCCAGCCCTGGTTTCCACACCGGCTGTCTGCTCGAGAAGGCCCTGAGCAGCTTCCTTCTGTTACAGGCCCAGTCCTCCCTGTCTGCTCTATGGCCTTGTTATCATCTGGCCTGGTGGCCACTGGCTGCCCTGAGATTTTAATGGAGAGGAGAGGCCTGCCCAGTCAGAGAGAATGCTCCAGTTCTAGATACTGTGTTTCTATCTTTAAAGATGAGAACAGTAGGGGTTGACCTTTTTGGTGTCCAAGCTGGACTTATGCTGGTCCCTCCTCCTCTCCCTCGAGAGCCCTGGGGGATCTGTTTTCATGGTACGCCAGAGTCAAACTGGGGGTCTCAGGCCTGGAACCATGGCTGGCTTCACAGCTGTCAAGCAGAGAGGTTTTGGCTGACTACTTGTTGTTGCCTCGGAGTATATTTGTATTTTTCCCCCTTGGTTTATTTCATTTTTACTTTCTTACAGTGCTTGCTTTTCTGGTGCAGAAAGATTGTTGGGAACAGACAGGAACCAATGTGGGAATTCAACTTTAAATTCAAAAAACAGGTATATGGTCTCATTTTCTCCTTGCTTTTTTAGATGCTGTCTTGTAATAAATTTCGCTAGGAGTTGTAGTCCATTTGTGCTGCTGTAATTAGATATCACAGAATGAGTAATTTTATTTTATTTATTTTATTTTTTTGACAGGCAGAGTGGACAGTGAGAGAGAGAGACAGAGAGAAAGGTCTTCCTTTTGCTGTTGGTTCACCCTCCAATGGCTGCCGCAGCCGGTGCACCGCGCTGATCCGAAGGCAGGAGCCAGGTGCTTTTCCTGGTCTCCCATGGGGTGCAGGGCCCAAGGACTAGGGCCATCCTCCACTGCACTCCCGGGCCACAGCAGAGAGCTGGCCTGGAAGAGGGGCAACTGGGACAGAATCCGGTGCCCCAACAGGGACTAGAACCTGGTGTGCTGGCACCGCAGGCGCCAGCCTAGTGAGCCGCAGCACCGGCCCGAATGAGTAATTTTAAAGAACAGAAATTTAGCCACACAGTTCTGGAGATTGGGTAGTCCAGGGGCAGGGTGCTTGCAGGGTCGGTGGTGGGGGCCAGGCTGGCTGCTTCCCAGGTGGTGCTGTGCTGCATCCTTAGGCGGGGGCCACACAGTGTCCACGCAGGGACGGAGGAGGAAGGCCACAGGTGGCCCTGTGCGATGGGAAGCCTCTTCTGGAAGGGCCTTATGCCCATTCACAAAGGAGGAGCCCTGTGGCTATCACCTTATAAAGACCCCAGCTTTTTACAGATTTATTTATTTATTTAAAAGCAGAGTTACATGTAGAGAGAGACAGGGAGACATGGACAGAAAGAGAGAGTGGCCTTCTATCTGCTGGTTCACTCCCCAGATGGCCACAATGGCCAGGGTTGGGCCAAGCCGAAGCCAGGAGCCAGGAGCTTCATCTGAAGACTCCATCTCTTAATACTGTTGCAATGGAGATTAAATTTCAACCTGAATATTGGAGGAGGTACAAACCTTCAAACTATAGCACTAGGGCAAAGTTGCCTTTTTTTTTTTTTTTAAATTTTTAACAGGCAGAGTGGACAGTGAGAGGGAGAGAGACAGAGAGACAGGTCTTCCTTTTGCCGTTGGTTCACCCTCCAATGACCACTGCGGCCTGCACACTGCGCTGATCCGAAGCCAGGAGCCACATGCTTCTCCTGGTCTCCCATGCGGGTGCAGGGCCCAAGCACTTGGGCCATCCTCTACTGCACTCCTGGGCCACAGCAGAGAGCTGGCCTGGAAGAGGGGCAAACGGGACAGAATTCGGCGCCCCAACCAGGACTAGAACCCGGTGTGCCGGCGCCGCAGGCGGAGGATTAGCCTAGTGAGCTGCGGCGCCGGCTGAAGTTGCCTTATTTGAATCAGACAGTAGTCATCAAACCTTAGCAGCTGCAGCCAGTGCTGTGCAGCGGGTAAAGCCTCTGCTTGCAATACCGCAGTCCCGGCTGCTCCACTTCCAATGCAGCTCCCTGCTGATGTGTCTGGGAGGGCAGTGGAGGGTGGTCCTAGTACTGGGGTCCCTGTCACACATGGGAGAGACCTGGCTTTGGCCTGGTGTAGCCCTGGCCTTTGTGTCTATTTAGAGTGAGAGCCAGCAGATGGAAGATCTCTGTCTCTTCTCTCTTCGTCACCTTGCCTTTCAAATAAATAACTAAATAAGTCTCTTTGAAAAAGAAACTTAGGGTTGATGTTTAGTCTTAGAGTTAAGATGCCTGTGTCCCACACTGGAGTTCCTGGGTTCGATTCCCAGACCCAGCTCTTGACTGTAGTTTCCTGTGAATGTAGTGATTGAGTTCCTGCCACCCCCGAGGGACACCTGCTCCTGGCTGGCCCCCAGGATTGCCCTGGCAGTTATAGGCGTTTGAGGAGTGACCCGGCAGATCGGAGTTCTCTCTTTCTTCCTGTATCTTTCTCTGCTTCTCAAATAGAAAAACAGGGGCCCGGCACCGTGGCTCACTTGGCTAATCCTCCACCTGCGGCGCTGGCATCCCATATGAGCACCAGGTTCTAGTCCCGGTTGCTCCTCTTCCAGTCCAGCTCTCTACTGTGGCCCAGGAAGGCAGTGGAGGATGGCCCAGGTCCTTGGGCCCTGCACATGCATAGGAGACCAGGAGGAAGCGCCTGGCTCCTGGCTTCGGATCGGCGCAGCGTGCCGGCCCTAGCAGCCATTTGGGGGGTGAACCAGTGGAATGAAGACCTTTCTCTCTGTCTCTCTTTCTCACTCTGTAACTCTACCTGTCAAATAAATAAATAAATAAATCTAAAAAAAAAAAAAAATAGAAAAACCATAAAACTTCTAATAATGCCAGGAAGAGAAAAGAAAGGGGAAACTATTATTCTATATTGAAAAACACAAAGATAATAACCTACTGCAAAAGAGTAAGTTTTGAGTTGATCCTGAATCAGAGAATAAAGAACTCTAAAAACATTGGGGGATCAATTAAGGAAGTATACCATTCTGTAGACATAGGTTCTGCAGAATTGTGAGGATGATATTATGGTTATGTATAAGTGTTTTTATACTGATTTATTTGAAGTGTTAGCTTCGAGTTAACACTTGAGCCCCTCCATTTCAAAGTGGTATGATTTTATAGATACGTTCATATAGAATGAGGGGGAGTCAGGAAAAAGGAGATAATATCTAGAAATGTGTATAGGAGTCTAACGAACTAGCTTATTAAGTCTTCTGTATATTTGAAGACTTTTAAAAATAGGAAAGGAAAAAGAAAAAAAACATAACAATATACTGAAGTTTATTTGTCTGAATGCTCCTGTTCAAAGTGAACGTGTTTGTAAGCAGCAGTCATTTATCTGGAGGTTTGGGGAAGCTGTGAGGGAAGAGGTCACCGAAGGGCTTGTATGAGAGGGCGGATGCCGGGCCAGTCCGTGTCTGCCTTCTGGAGCCGAGCTAAGAGCTTGGCCACGGCGAGCTTCTGTTCACCTCTCATCAGCAGTCCCTTTCCCACCGTCTCCTGTTTCATGGCTCACTGAGGAGATGCGTTACAAATCACACGCACACCCCTCACTTGATGGCAGGTGGTGCTGGGCAGTTTGTAATTAAATGAGCTTTTCCTGATGATCTGTTTCAAAACCGTGGTTCTGATGTCTTACGTCTGAGATGCTCGTGATCTGGGGTACCCATCAGACAGTGGGGGGGGGCCCACAGGACCTCTCTGGGGAGGCAGTAAGGGGCAGTCGGCCGTGGTGAAAAGTGACCCCAAGTGTGGACAGAATCTGCAGGGCAGTGAACGCTGGGTGTCCGTTAGTGCTGAGACGTGTGGCTCCTTTTTGCCCTGGGGTAGGTGGCTGCTTCTGCCTCCACCCCCTGGGAACAGCCTGTATTCTTGAGTCTGACAAGTCACAAGGAATTTGCCAGTGACCGAATTCCGGTCAGCCTCCGAGAGGCAGGCTGCGAGTCCCCATTTCTTCTCGGGTGGCAGGGAATGACTCCCCTCTCAGAGAAACCTCCACTGCCACCAGCCACGCTTGCTCATCCAAATGTGTTTTCTCTCTTAAAGGTAGAGTTTGTTTGTTTGTTTGTTTTTTAAACCCTGTATATTGATTGCTGTATATAATGGAAGAGGAGATAACCAGAAAAGTGTACCTTACTAGGTTTGATTGAGTATTGGATTTTCACTGATGAGGCTTAAAGCTAAACATTTCATTTCTCTAGGCATTAGATTAATTCCTCGTTCTGCTCAGTCCCCTAGGTTAAAGAGCAAGTGTGTGGGAGGATTGCAGCCTCCCATTCAGTATGAAGATGTTCACACCAACCCCGACCAGGACTGTTGCCTACTGCAGGTCACCACCCTCAATTTCATCTTTATTCCAATTGTCATGGGAATGATATTTACCCTGGTAAGTGGGCTCAGGGTGGCATCCACAGCTGTTTTATACAGACTGCCACTACAGCCAGGGTTTGAAAGAGATTTGTAGATTTCACCATCAAGGAACAAACATTGAAGAATAATAAAAATGTCTGAAGTTAGGCCTATATATTAGAAACAAACAGATTTGTGGAGGAGTTAATTATATTTGAGAATTTTACCTGTTTCCTTCTCTGTGGGAAAGAGAATGCTTTTGCATCTTCATATGTCTTCATATGTAGTGATCATTCATATTTGAGAAACATGATCCTATAAGGAACAACAATGAGGCTGTACCTGAGCACCGGGTATTAAGACCTTGAGATGTGTGTGTGGTGTCGTAAATGGAATATTAAATACGGGGTGGCCAGCTCTGCCCCTGGTGTGATGCTCTGATCAAGGCCTGGTTACGAATTAGATTAGGGGCCGGGGCTGTGGCATACCAGGTAGGGCCGCCCCCTGCAGTGCTGGCATCCTATGTGGGCGCCAATTCGAGACCCAGCTGCTCCACTTCTGATCCAGCTCTCTACTGTGGCCTGGGAAAGCAGTAGAAGATGGCCCAAGTGCTTGGGCCCCTGCACCCGCGTGGGAAGACCTGGGGGAGGCCTCTGGCTCCTGGCTTTGGATCAGAGAAACCTGCAACCGTTGTGGCCATCTGCGGAATGAACCAGCGGATGGAAGACCTCTCTCTCTCTCTGCCTCTCCTTCTCTCTCTGTGTAACTCTGACTTTCAAATAAATAAATAAATCTTTAAAAAAAAAAAAAAAAGGAATTAGGGCTGGCGCCACGGTTCAATAGGCTAATCCTCCGCCTGTGGCGCCGGCACACTGGGTTCTAGTCCTGGTTGGGGCGCCGAATTCTGTCCCGGTTGCCCCTCTTCCAGTCCAGCTCTCTGCTGTGGCCAGGGAGTGCAGTGGAAGATGGCCCAAGTGCTTGGGCCCTACACCCGCGTGGGAGACCAGGAGAGGCACCTGGCTCCTGGCTTCGGATCAGTGCGGTGTGCTGGCCGCAGCGTGCTTGCTGCAGCGGCCATTGAGAGGTGAACCAACGGAAAAGGAAGACCTTTCTCTCTGTCTCTCTCCACTGTCTACTCTGCCTGTCGAAAAAAAAAAAAAAAAAAATGATTAGTAACAGATGTGCTGTGGCATATTTTTTCCAGGTTTTAAAAAATTTTGACTGTATTGGCAGCTGGAGAGTTCACGTAATTTGTCCTCTCCGCATCTTGGGCTTATGTACAGAGATGTGTGGGGTTCCCCCTCCACAGGGGAAATGAGTTTTTTTTTTTAAATTTTGTTTGCAATTAACTGGGAACTCTAGAATGTGTCTATTGTTCATAGATACACTCTGAGAACCCCTTTGTGTGGTTGAGATTATGTCATGCTTACTGTTTTTTTTAAAGTTTTATTTTATTTATTTGAAAGACAAAGTTACAGAGAGAGGTAGAGACAGAGAAAGAGGTCTTCCATCTATCTGCTGGTTCATTCTGCAAATGGCTGGAGCTGAGCTGATCTGAAGCCAGGAGCCAGGAGCTTCTTCCAGGTTTCCCATGTGGGTGCAGGGGCCCGGGACTTGGGCCATCCTCCGCTGCTTTCCCAGGTATATTAGCAGGGAGCTGGATTGGAGTGGAACAGCCAGGACTCAAACAGGCACCCATATGGGAAGCTGGTACTGCAGGCCAGGGCTTTAATCCGCGGTGCCACAGTGCCAGCCCCAGGCCTGCTGTTTTTATTGCATGCACCTTACCCCTGCCTCCAGGTTCAGCCGCGTTAATGACTTGGTTAGGTATTCCTTCTCCATGCACTCCACACTTAAACACCTCAGTGTAGACCTGCATACATATATTGAGAGGTGTTGTGATTTGTTTTAGCAAAAATGGCATCAGATTTATGTTTTACACATCTTGTTTGACTTACCGACCTCTTCATCTCTTGCAACCCTAATCCAATTAAAAACGTTGGCGTTGATGGTAGTCTGTGTGTGTGTATGTATCCCAATGTATTTAGCTGTTCATGAAGCTTTCTTTAGCATAGTGTGTATATATGAAGCTGAAGGACCTTATGAAAGTTTTGGTGTTAGAATCTACAGACTGATCCTGTGGCCCAGCCAGTGAAAGCTGTGTCTAGACAGTCTCCTGTCAGAGTGAGTCGGAGGAAGCCTAGCTTGTTTTAAGTTGGTGCTAAATTTGCTTTTCCCTTCCAGTTCACCATCAATGTGAGCACGGACATGCGGCACCACCGAGTGAGGCTGGTATTCCAAGATTCACCCGTGCACGGCGGTCGGAAACTGCGCAGTGAACAGGGCGTGCAAGTGATCCTGGACCCGGTGCACAGCGTCCGCCTCTTTGACTGGTGGCACCCTCAGTATCCGTTCTCCCTGAGGGCGTAGTTGCCGCTGCCCCTCCCTGCGGCGGCCCCAAGTCTAGTCCTGGCAGTCGGATTCCAGCCTGGAGGGGTGGCTGAATTGTACACCTGGTCAGTGACGCACGTGCTGCGGGGCTTCCTGAGGCTCCTGTTAAGGGAGGGAGAAGGGTTGAATCAAGAGGAAAAACAACTATGATTTATAAACATATTTTAACGTAAAAATTTGCATTTCAAAGGAGAAACCTGGCCTTGTTTTCTTTGTTCAAACCCCACTTGGTGCTATGGAGTTTGGTGTTTATTCTTTTATCCCAGCAAAATGAATGATCAAGCTCTAGGGAAAAATTAAAAATCTCCGAATGAGGAAGTCTCAGCGTTCCCTCAGGGGTCCGCGCAGCTGGGGAGGTGCAGCGCTGTTGCTGCAGTGGCCCCGGTGCCACCGCCCCTCCAATTCAAGGGAATATGGCCTGCCTTCACCCTTCTCCGGAATAAAGCAGGCGGCAGGGTTTTCAGAATCTTGCAAGATTGACTTGTGTATACACCTTTTTTAAAAACTAATTTATTATATAAATATTCTTTTGCCAGTTTTTAAATTTTAGTGTTTTTTGTTTTTGTTTTTGTTTTTAAATGAGGCTGATGGTGGTGATGATAATGACTTTGTCCCCCTCATAATATACTAGGAGCTTTATATAGTGTCTCAAATTCCCACAATTCTTGCAAGGTACATGATACTGTCCCTATTTTATGGGTGAGCAAACGAAATTAGTGACTTACCCAAGGCTACAATAGTGATAGTGCCTGTAGAGCTACGACCCTCACCCAGGCTTTTTTTTTTTTTTTTGTAAGAAAGATGTATTTATTTATTTGGAAGGCAGAGTGAGAGAGACAACATAGGCGTGCGGAGAGATCATCCGCTGGTTCATTCCCCAAATGGCTGGGCCAGGCTGAAGCCAGGAGCCCTTAATTCCATCTAGGTTTTCCATGTGGGTGCAGGGGAACCCGGATACTCGGGCCATCGTCCACTGCTTTCCCGGGTATGTTAGCAGGAAGTTGGATGGAAGCAGAGCAGCCAGGACTTGAACTGGCTCTCCATCACTGGATGCCGGCGTTGTAACTGGCGGAGTAACCTGCGGTGCCACAGTGCTGGCTCTCACCTAAGACTTCTTACTGATCCACTATTGAAAGGTCACACTAGCCAGCGCTGCGGCTCACTAGGCTAATCCTCCGCCTTGCGGCGCCGGTACACCGGGTTCTAGTCCCGGTCGGGGTGCCGGATTCTGTCCCAGTTGCCCCTCTTCCAGGCCAGCTCTCTGCTGTGGCCCGGGAGTGCAGTGGAGGATGGCCCAAGTGCTTGGGCCCTGCACCCCATGGGAGACCAGAAGCACCTGGCTCCTGCCTTCGGATCAGCGCAGTGCCCTGGTCGCAGCGCACCGGCCGCGGCGGCCATTGTAGGGTGAACCAACGGCAAAGGAAGACCTTTCTCTCTGTCTCTCTCACTATCCACTCTGCCTGTCAAAAAAAAAAAAAAAAAAAAGTCACACTGTGTTTTTTTTTGTTTGTTTTTTGGTTTTTTTTTTTTTTTTTTGGTGGTAGATGGTATAAAAGGGAGTAGGCAGAGTGTACACAAATAAAAAAGTAAAAGGATGAACATAAATTTGTGGTATAGCTTATCCCTAAAATAACTAAAAATGAAAGAATCTTAAAGTATGTTTTAAAGTAAAATGTGAAACAGACCAAGAAAGTTATTTCAGGAGGGATAGGCGTTTTCATTGAGTCGTTAGGCTTGAAAGCCATTTGTCGTCCTGAAGGTCATTAGAAAGACGCACTGCGAATTGAGCCAAGCCTCCCGACCACAAGCACTTAGTGACTTCCCTCTGGCCTGCCCTGCGCCGCCTCTGCTGCCGCCTGGATGCTGCGGGAGCGCGGCCTTTCGTCCTGCAGAGTGTCCTGTTGCTCAGGGGACTCGCTGCGGCTGCTGTTTTCTGTTTTGCTAAGAGCTGCACGCCGTCCCCTTCTCCAGCTAACAGTGAGCTGGACATTGCCAGGAGGCGGGCTCTAAGACAGTCTGCTTTAAACATGAAAATCTTGCGGGGGCAGTTGTTGTGAGCGAACAACCAAATTAGCCTGTCCTTTACCACCGGTCCTACCCCTGCTATTTAAAGAGCATTCCTAGGAAGCATCTGTTTAATGCTGCTGCTAACAGCTAACCTCACCCCCACACAGGAAGCCTGCCTGGGTCAGGAAAGATTAGAATTTGAGCATTTAATGATAAAAAAAGCAGCAGGTTAAGCCACTGCCTGCAATGCAGGCATCCCATAATGTAGTGCTAGTTCGGTTCATGTCAAGTCCTGGCTTCCGATCCAGCTCTCTGCTGTGGCCTGGGAAGGTAGCAGAAGATGGCCCAAGTCCATAGGCCCTGTACCCACGTGGGAGACCCAGAGGAAGCTCCTGGCTCCTGGCTTTGGATCGGCCCAGTTTTGGCTGTTGCAGCCACTTGGGGGAGTGAACCAGTGGATGAAAGCTCTCCCCCTCTCATTCTGCCTTTCAAATAAATAAATCTTACTAAAGAGTGATAAAAACAAGCAGAACACCTAAGGACAGCAAACAAGCACTTACTGCAATGTCTACCGTGGGAAGTCAGCCCTCCGGGCAGGAGAGGAGCGCAGAGCCCCTCACTTCTCAGCCTACAGATGCCCTGGGTGCCCGCCACGGCACAGCCACTGTTGCAGAGGTGGTGGGATGGATGTGGCCTAATGGTTGTGCTCTGACTCCACTCGCGAGTTTTGTGTCAAACTCCGTGGTGGGATGACAGATTAAACACTGCCGCTGGCTTCTCCTGACACGCCTATCCCTCCTGAAATAACTTCCTTGGTCTGCTGCACATTTTACTTTAAAGCGCTGTATCAATGGCTACCCTAGCTTCAGGCTTCTGCATTGCTGGTTTATTAGTGAGGGATGTGAAACGCCCTTTGGGTGAGACCCTTGGAACACCTGGAGAACAGAGGGAACTTTCTGGGCTACAGACAAAAACCTCCACTGCGAAATAACAGGAATTCAGCTCCGGCTCTCAGCCCTCCGAGTCAGTCAGCACTGGTCAGATTTCCCTGCCTTCGGAAGAGGCGAGCAACCAAGCCACAAGGTGACAGCGCGGGCGCAAACGTGAGGCGGCTCGGCTCCGTGGCGCCAAGCCCCGCGCTCGTGTGCGCATGTGCACACGCCGAGTGCCCGCGCCAGATGGGAGAGGCAGGAGTAGCCACGGGGGACCGGCGAGCGTTGCGGGAGAACGCAGAGGCTTATCTGGAATTTGCCAGTCAGGGATCTTGGCACCAGAGACTGTTTTCATAGTATGCGCACGTAACAGGCGAACGTCTCACTTTGTAGTGATGGCGATGGCACTGCCAGCTGCCTCAAGCCTAGCATGCGACTCAAGGGCAGGCCCCAGAAACGCGGGCGGGAAAGAGCAAGTGTGAAACGGACGCGCCACTGGCAGGCCTAGGGACAGAGGGGGACCCGAGACTCCTGGAGCAGAGCCCACGCGGTACCCCGGCGGGACTCGAGGCCCAGCCAAGATGGCGCACGGCCTCAACGCGGCACCTTCGTCACGTGCCGGCCGGGAGCGCCCGGGGCGGGGGCGGGGCCCGGGAGAAGCCATGCCCCGCCCTGGGGGTGGGGCCGGCGGAGGGAGGGGCGGGGCCTGGGCCGGGCGCTAGGGCGGCGGAGGCTGCGGGTGCCTTGGGCGCCCGCTTGGCTCTAGGTCGTGTCGGTCTGCTCTGGTCGGGGGCGGCTCACCTCGCAGCCGAGCTGCCGGCCTTCGGGGACTGCAGACAGGTGAGCGCCCAGACCCAGGCGAGGGCGGCAGGATGCTCTTTTTCCACCTCCTGCCCCACTGCACAGTCTGGGGAGGGGGGTGACTCTCTAGCGCACCCGGGACCACAGCCCCTCTTGGCGCCGGCTGCGGCGGCCTCGGCGGGCGTCGATGCTGCCCCCTCCTCCGCCCCTCGCCAGGCTTTGCGGTGCCCCGTGCCCTTGGGAATGCGGGTGGGGGGCGATGTCCGGCTTGCGCGGAGGGCGTAAGCGCGCGCTCGGCTCCCGCGGCTCCGGGGAGGGGGCTGAGCTAGCGAGTCTCCCGGGGGCGGGGGGCGGGGGCCGGTGACTGCGCCCCCATTTCCCTGCCAGGGCCGGAGGAAAGGCGCTTCCCGTCTCGCGAGGGTCCTCTCTCTGGGCAGGCACCTCCGAAGGGTCGCAGCCTCGCGCTGGTCGCAGGTCTGAATCCCTCCCGTGCGCCCCTTGCCCGGGGAGCCGGCGGTGTCGGGCGCGTCTCCGCAGTGTCGGACTCCGGGAGCACGGAGCGGCCAGCGCGAGGCCTGGTGGTGGTGGTGGGGGTGCACCAGGATGGGAGGGCTGGGACCGAGCTTGCGGCACCGAGAGGTGGCAGCGGGCGGCTGAGTTTCGTCCACGCAGGAGGGGTGTTTTCCAGTAGAGACCCTGAGGGTTCTGATGGGGGGTGGAGAGCGGGAGAGGCCGAGCCGGAGCCCTGGGAAGCGCGGGGTGGGTGGCCTTCCTTGAGAAGGAGGCGGGATCCAGGACAGAGTGCCACTAGGTGCTGATGTCACCTTTGAAGAGAGGTGTGGTGGGGCTCCTGGGGGGCAGGGAGGAGAGCAGTGCTTCCGCCCTTCTGCTGGGCAGCGAGTGGTTATGGGAGGCCCCGCACGGCTCCCGCCCCAGGAGCCAGGGTTCCAGAGCTGTTGGAACTGGTGCCTCTCACTTAGCTCCAGGACCCAGCAGGCATCTCTCGGGCACCATTCTAGGGAGGAGCCGGCCTTCTGAAGGCAATTTAGGGTCACGAAGCGGCAAAAGTTGCACAGGCAGGTGCTGTTGCTGACTGCACACACACACGTGCACACACGCATGTGCACACACACACGTGCACGATTTTGTTCCGTTGCTGTTGGCTTAGGAAATGAAAGAACTGAACCAGGTTCGAACAGTGCCACCACCATTACCTGGCCAGGTAGCCCAGGGAAGCGGCCTTAGCAACCAGGACAGCTTGAGTCACTTCCCTTGGCCACTTTCTCAGGCTCTGGTCTTGAGGCCAGTGGAGGCTCCCTGGCATGAATGGCATCAGCATCAACAGTAGTGAGATGATGAGCAGCTCCACGGGCACATGACAGGGGCAAAGGGTGCTTTGACAGTGCACAGTGGGCGCCACCATCTCATGAATGGGGGAGGGGGCGTGGAAGGGAAGCCCCCAGTGGCGTGTGGGTGGGTGCTGCTGAGGGCCGGCAGGGCAGGGCAGGAGTGGGGCTCGGGGCGCCTCTGAGTTGGAAGAGTTGTCAGGGATTGCTGTGGTCCTTTCTGAGCAGGTCTGGCGTAGGGGTGGGGGTGGGGAGCCGGGCTGCGGTGGTCATGAGGCAGGGGGTGGTACTCAGGAGGCTCGGAGCTGGGTGCCAAGGGGGCTTTGCGACATGGGGAGTGGGCCTGGGTCTCCTCACCCCTGCCATACGATGCCCTGGGCTCTCGGCTCTGTTGTGTGGAGTTGGTAGATGGTTGGTGTGGACACACCGTGTGGTGGGGGGTTGTGTGAGTGTGTGTGCCCGTATGCGTGCAAGCGTGCACGTGTGGGTGCACTGGAGAGGAGCGGGGAGCAGGGGGGCCGTGAAAGCTGCCTGGCAGTCTGAGTCCTAGGCAGGGAGTGGGGTCAGAGGGCTGGCAAGTGTGTATTGCAGCCACATGAAGCCACCATCTGTCCCCCTCTGGCCTGCTAGCTCACTGACCTATAATTAGCTCCGGAGGGCACACCGGGCTGGCTCGCAGGAGCCTGGCACTAAGGATCTCCGCCAGAGGGAAGCGGGCTCTGAGAGGCCGCTTCTAGGGGCCTGGCTGTGAGGGGCCGTGGGGGCAGGGCTGGTGGGGGACATAGCAGTAGGGGTCGGAGCTCTGAGAGCATTCGGGGGGTCGGGAAGGGCCTGGCCACTGGGAGCACCAAGTTGCTCCACCTGCAGAGAGGCCAGGGCGCTGCAGCCTCAGGGCCTTGCTCAGGGTCTGCACCCCCCCCCCCCCCAGTCAGCTCGAGCGGGGAGCAGTTGCCTGCTTTCTGTTGGGGTGGAGAGGCCTTGGCTGGGGCCACCTCCTTCTGAGAGAGCTGGAGGAGGGACTGCCACCCATTAACTCTACTGGTCTTGCTCCAAGTGGCGCTCAGCTGCGCCAGGCTGGATGTTTGGGCCCAGGCTACCGGCTATTGCTCTCTGGTGCTTGGGTGGGTATCTGTGTCTGGCTGCGTCGGATTCTTGGAAACCACTCAGTAAGTGCTTGTTGGATTGAAGCGAAGAGTTCTGTCTTCTGGTCCCTTGGGTGTGATGAGGCAGGGCCTCCTTGCAACTAGAAATACTTAACCCGGGGGCAGAGACGCCTCTGGGGACCCAGGAGTGCGCGTTACCGTCTCAGCCCCCCGGGGGAGTGAATTAGAGTCTGGGAGCACAGAGTGAAAAGCCTCAGACTCTCTGAAGCGTGGTGCTGGGTGCAGGCTTCTAACCGGTGGGCTCGTGTGTAGAGTATACAGTAGGTACTCTCTACTGGGGATGCAGTATTCAACGGTGCACTGTTACACAGCTGCTTAAAGAAGGGCGCGTGGGCACCATGTAGTGGAGTTGTTGGGGTCAGATGAAGCAGCTGGTGTGCATTTGGGGGCCTTTGTTGCGGCTGAATTCTTGCAGATCAAATGCATACCAGACGTGCCTTCAGCTAGGTGACTGTCCATCCGCTGGGGAGAGAGGTTTCCATCCAGCTGAAGGAAAAGGGTCCAGTGGCAGTCTTTCCTCCACTTGGTGGTGAGCTCCTGCGGGAGGCCGGTCTGGGCTGGCAGGGAGTCGTGGGAGGCTGGCCTGCACAGCCTCTGAGAGTCTGCCTTCCGGAGGCGTGGGTGGGCGCCCACTGAGAGGGTCCCGGCAGCTGCTTAGGACAGAGCTTGGCCTGGGCTGTTCCCTGAGGCCTGGCCGCTCTGGGAGACCCCTGCAGTGCACTTCCTCTGGGGGAGGGGCAAGTAGGGGATGGGCTGGGCCAGTTCCGAGACCTCAACCTCAGCCTCAGCCTCAGCCGGCTTCGGGGTGTGACATTTTGGCTCTGTTGAGGATGGAGAACACGGAACAGTTTCCATCCTTTCACCGGCATCCCTACCCTCCCTTCTCTCCCTCTCACACAAGGTCAAGACCACACTGCACTCACACTCTCTCCTGGTTCACTCTCCAAATGCCCCCTGTGACTGGAACTGGGCTGGGCTGCAGCTCAGTAGGGAACCCAACTCCAGCCTCCCATGTGGACGCAGGAGCCCAATTACTTGAGCTGGCACTGCTGCCTCCCAGGGTCTGCATTGGCTGGAAGCTGGACCCAGGAGCCAGAGCCAGGAATTGAACCCAGACACCAGACACTCTGATGAGGGACACGGGTATCTTAACTGCTGGGCTGAACACCCATTCTCGTGTGCTTTCATGATGACATGTGTGCATGCACAAGGTTCATGGCCTCCCTGTGCTTTTTTTTTTTTTTTAAGATTTATTTATTTGAAAGGCTGAATTACAGAGAGGCAGAGGCGGAGAGAGAGGTCTTCTACCTGCTGGTTCACTCCCCAAATGGCCTCAGTGGTCAGAGCTGCGCTGATCCGAAGCCAGGAGCCAGGAGCTTCTTCTGGGTCTCCCACGTGGGTGCAGGGGCCTAAGGACTTGGGCCATCCTCCACTGCTTTCCCAGGCCACAGCAGAGAGCTGGATCAGAAGTGGAGCAGCCGGGACTCGATCTGGCGCCCATATGGGATGCCGGCACCGCAGGTGGTGGCTTTACCTGCTACACCACAGCGCTGGCCCCTCCCTGTGCTATTTGAACATAGGTGATTTCAGGACTCCCACACGCATGTGCTCGTGTGGCCACCCACGCCCACTGTCAGTGTGCATATGCTCACAGTACGTTCTCATGACTGCAGTCACGGGCAGTCAGCAGCCCTGACACATACGTGCACTCACTACCACACCCAGCCATGCACTCGCACAACTGTCCAAACCCACTCGTTCTCACATTCCCCACACTCCCCCCCCCCCCCCGTTTTTTAAGATTTATTTATTGGGACTGGCACTGTGGCGCTGTGGGTTAAAGCCCTGGCCTGAGCACCAGCATCCCATATGGGTGCCGGTTCTAGTCCCGGCTGCTTTACTTCTGATCCAGCTCTCTGCTGTGGCCTGGGATAGCAGTGGAGGATGGCGCAAGTCCTTGAGCCCCTGCACCTGCGTGGGAGACCTGGAAGAGACCTCTCTTTCTCTCTCTCTGCCTCTGTCTGTAACTCTGTCTTTTAAATAAATAAAAAATAATAATAAAAAAAAGACTTTACCAAGTTCCCTTTGCCTTGCCAGAATCTCCTACTCACTGATTGCAAATGCAGGCCCTACCCCAAGCCTAGTAAAAAAAAAAAAAAAAAAGATTTACTTATTTATTTGAAAGGCATGGTGACAGAGAGTGAGGGAGAGACACACACAGAGAGAAATCTTGCATCTACTGATTCACTCCCCAAGTGGCTGCCACAGCTGGGACTGGACCAGGCTGAAGCCAGGAGCCCAGAACTCCATCTGGACCTGTGAGTGCTACTTTCCCATGTGGGCGGCAGGGACCCAGGTCCTTGGGCCATCTTCTGCTGTTTTCCCAGGGGCATTAGCAGGGAGCTGGGTTGGAAGCAGAGCAGCCAGGACTTGAAGCGGGCTCTGATCTGGGATGCTGGCGTCGCAAACAGAAGCTTCACCTGTTGTGCCACAGTGCTGGCCTCTGTCCTCCATTTTTGTAGCCACACTC